ACCATTGACCACATGACCACAGTCTTCACTAACTCATACTATATAGTCAGAGTGTTTATGTTTATGTAGTATTTCTCTCGCTTTTTAACAATTTTTTATTTACTTAACAATGTAGAACTTTGCAGCCATCAGTAGTTCTGATGCAATTGGAAATTTGGGAAACTTGGTGGAGCTGTTAATGCAGTGAATCTTGTAGGTAAAATATATGCATACTTTTTTTTCTTAATATTTTTTAGTTGTAGATGGACACAGTACCTTTATTTTATTTATGTATTTTTTTAACGTGGTGCTGAGAATTGAACTCAGTGCTTCACATGTGCCAGGCAAGCACTCTACCACTGAGCCACAACCCCAGCCCATGTGCATACTTTTGATAGCACGTATGCCTCCATATGTGCTATCAAAAGTATCAAAAGACATATGTGCTCTTAAAAGTTGACTTTATTGGTTTTATTTTCAGCAAACTGATGTTAGGCCATTCAACATGAATTTTATTGTCCTGATATTAGTTCATGTTCTCTTTTTACAACAAATTAATGATCAACAGAAGATACCAATTTAATATAAAAAGTATCAGGGCCTTCACAGCCACCATAGGCTTTCTACTTTCCATTATGTTATATTCTTGCAAAAGTCTGCTTTGGTTCCACAGGAGCTTTAGTTTCCTGGTGAGATAGTGATACAGAATGTGTCATCCACTCTGTCTGGATGAGGCTTATGTAGCATTTCTCTACAACTCTTTGCTGTAGTAATTTTTTAAAAAGCAACCTACACAAAACCTCTTAAAAAGAGTGACAGTATGGGGCTGGGGATGTGGCTCAAGCGGTAGCGCGCTCGCCTGGCATGTGTGCGGCCTGGGTTCGATCCTCAGCACCACATACAAACAAAGATGTTGTGTCCGCCGAAAACTAAAAAAATAAATATTAAAATTCTCTCTCTCTCTTAAAAAAAAAAAAAAGAGTGACAGTATGGAGAACTGAGATGTACTCTTGTTTATCCATTAGCAAAAGGTTGGTGGTATTGTGCTGCATTTGTACACTATGATGGAATAATAGTTATAATGCAACAAAACAGTTGGTCATATTTTTTCAGGCTGGTTTGATGTTGACTTGAAACTACAAAAAATACCCTATTGGGTTAACCTGTTTTGTGTGGTACAAATTTTATGTCTTAGGATCTGATAATTCTATTTATGGCTTCCTATGGTACTGGAATTGGATATATTTTATCATTTCTTAGGATAGGCTCAGAAGGAATTTATAGTTTAATATTTCCCTAGTGTAACCTTAGAGTTATATTTATTTTTGTCTTGATCCTTTAGCCTACTAGACCTTTTTCCAAGGTGATGTTCAGCTTTTACAGTGAAACTTGACCATAACACAAGATTTTTAAAGCAACTGTGTTTTAGCTACTTGCAAATATACTTTAATTTTATTATCAAACAGCATTTGATAAAGATGGGATATATATCCCTAAATTACATATTAAGAAATGAATACTATGAAAGTAAAATGACCAGGACCTTTTTTTTTTTAAATTTCATATCATAAGCTCATCCTTTTTAGATTTTTGCTTTAAACCCAAATGCCTGTTTATGACCTAGCTCATGATTTTTAGTGGGAATTGCCAGATATAGATAATTCTTGCAATTCAAATTCAGCCTTTTTATTTTTTTAAGTCTCTACAAGGGGAATGCTAACAGTAACCCAAGCCAGGAAGGACCCATGGGTGAAAAGAGCCACTTCACTTGCTTTTAAAAGGAGTGTTAGGCTCGGCATGGTGGCACACACCTATAATCCCTGCGACTGGGGAGGCTGAGTCAGGAGGATCATGAGTTCAAAGCCAGCCTTAGCAATTTAGCAAGGCCCTGTCTCTAATAAAATACAAAAAGGGCTGGGGATGTGACTCAGTTGTTAAATGCCCCTGAGTTCAATCCCCCAGTAACACCCTTGCCCCCCCCCCAACAAAAAGGGAGTATTGGGATATGAGACACAGCTTGTTTCTAAACACCTGCTCATAAATGTTCAATTGAGGACCCCACTCACATTCTATTAAATCACAATCACATTTTATCAATGTATCCATTTGATTTGTATGCACATTAAATTTGAGAATTATTCGCCTAGAACCAGGGATATTACCAACCAGTGATATCTGGCAAGTTCCGGGGTCCTGCCCTAGTGGCGTCCAGGGAGTCCTGAAGGATGAGTGGTGGCTGCGAAAAGATGAGACAGTCGTGTTGGAGCAATCTCCAGAGAGCGAGCTCTAATGGAGCTTTCTCTGGATCATCTTTTATTACAATTTTTCTCATCATTATAGATTCAAAATACATCATTGATTATACAATTTCAAAACTTTGCCAAGACATAATGTTTTCTTAACCATAATTAGAGTATAGAAAAATGTAATATCAATTTACATTTTTCCAGGATGTGACTTTTAGTTATCAATCATTAATAAGATGTGTCACTAATTTACATTTTTTCAGATTTTCCTAAGATGTACTATTTTCTTATTAACTAATGCCAAAGTACGTAACCAGACTCTAAGTCTCCTAACCTATCATTAACCTTTAAGTTTTAAAGTACACCTGCACTTTTATTTCTAATCTAAGATTCCCATCTAAAAAAGTCCCCTTACGGGGCTGGGGATGTGGCCCAAGTGGTAGCGCGCTCATCTGGCATGCTTGCGGTCCAGGTTTGATCCTGAGCACCACATGCATACAAAAATGTTGTGTCCGCCGAAAACTAACTAAATAAATAAATAAAAAGTCCCCTTAAATCTTAAAGTATCCTAAAGTTTATTAACCATTCTTAAAACATATTAGAAACCCATACAATAAAAACTTAAGAATTCTAAACCCAAGAATCTAAATAGAATAATACTTCTAACATTATTCTAAAAATATATCTTTTAAAGCTACTTTAATTTATTCCTAAATTTATTCTCATAAAACTGATTGAGCTGCTTTCTCAAAGTGTTTCTTTGTTTCTCAGTCAAGGTGCACTGGTTCTTATATCTTTATAATCTTTCTCAATAAAAAGTAAGTTCTAAACATCAGTCCACTTTCCACCAGTATTAAGTATGCTCATCATAAATCCCTATGTGAAGTAAAAGAGGGTTTATAGGGAAATGAAAAGAATGTATCCTTATATGTCTTAACTTTCCTAAGTGTATAACTTAACTTTCCTTAATCAAAAATTAAACTACATATGGTGGGTTTTGTACAATGAGCATAATGAATTTTTCTAAAAGGCTGGAAATATGGGCTTGGGTTCTAGTTGATATAATCAATGTGGTGCCTAAAATTCTCGTGACCTTTCAGAGAATGATTGTTGTCCATTATCAGTTTTGTCTTCAATGTGCTGAGATAGTAGAGCAGCTTTCTACTTTGTCCTTGATATGCTGAGGGGCAGTAGAACAGCCTTCAAGGCAAGAACTACCTGTTATATTCTAGCCATCTGAAATTTAATTTTGTTTGGCATTTAACATACTCATGCCTCCTGTCAGGAACATGAAAATGAAAAGTCCCAATTACATATAAAAGGTCTGATGGTTTTGGTTTCTCACCAACCCAGCATTCATCCTCACTGTGACCTTGACAAGACAGTGGGAGAGTGGCTTTGCCAGCACTTATTTTCACTGTGACCTTGTCAAGACAGTGAGAGGATGATCCCCTTTACCAGGCAAGGAGAATTTTTTGGTTCTTCAATCTCTGGGAGGGTGCTCCTGGCATCTGTATCTGATGGATAGAGGATAGGGATGCTGCCAAACATCCCTCAATACACAGAAGAGAGCCCCCACCCCAAGAATTATCTTGCTGTAAATGGCAATAGTGCTGCAGTTGAGAAAACCTACCCTAAAACAGTGGTTCTCAAACTTTTAAGTGCATGGACTCAGGACTCACCCTGGAAATTCATTAAAACAGACTGCTGTTCCCCTCCAGAATTTGGTTCAGTAGAGTTAGAGTGAGGCCTAAGACTGCATTTCTAACAAGTTCACAGGTGATGCTGATGCTGCTGGTCTTTTGAACACAATAACCACTGATCTACAGTTTTAAAAAGATAAGGCTAAAGTACTTGAATGAGTTGGTATATAATGTTGGTATTGAAACTGTTATTATTTTCAGTATTACCATTAAGAATATGCCAGAGGATGGGGCTGTATCTCGGTGGCAGAGTGCTCGCCTAACTTGTGAGGCACTAGGTTCGATCCTCAGCACATAAAATAAACAAATATATGCTGTCCTCAGCACATAAAAAGAAACAAATGTATGCTGTCCATCTACAGCTACTAAAATGAAAAAAAAAAGTATGTCAGGTGGTGCTAGGCGCTCACGAGAGTAGCTTATAGGTTTTTAGACTAAAACCATTTCGCGGATTAGGAAAGTTAAGGCCTAGAAATAGTTTCCTAAATACTGCTAATTTCCTAAATGGCAAACCTCCATTCCAACGAAGCACTAGTTCTTAACCACCATAGCCATTGCCCACGACGTGTTTAATATTTGAGACATTTCCCCCTCCATTCAGGCCTGTGTCTACTCCCTATCAAGGAGATCTCGCTGTGCAAGAGAAGATGAGAAAACAGACACCAGACGTATTCGGCATTTTGAGAGCAAAGACGGAAGAGGAGGGACTTCTGTGGCGGAAGGGGCGGGACTACCTTGGCAGGAAGTCCGGTGTTGACCATGGCTGTATTACGAGGGGGCCTATAGCCGGGGTCCTTGCCGGATCTCGATCTGCTCTTTCGCCCGCCCTGGTTCTGTTCAAAGCACAGATCCGCATACTTGGGGCGAGGCAAGGGTGGTGACTCTCTCCCTGCCGCCATGCACGACGCTTTCGAGCCTGTACCGATCCTAGAAAAGCTGCCTCTGCAGATCGACTGCCTGGCTGCCTGGGGTGAGCCGAGAGGCCGCGGGGCCGAGACCGGGTCAGCGCGGGAGCGGTCCGGAATTTTCGCTAGGCAGCAGATGTGGAAAGGCGTCTGACTGTATGTGGACTGCGGTCGGATGCTGTCCGAGAGCGGTCTAGGATGAGGGAGAGCAGAGAGATGACCACCCGCTGTAAACAGCGATGTTAGTGGGGGCTGACTGGCGATCCCTTAAGAATCAGTCTTTTTAGCACCCATTCTTGTGTTCTGTGCAATTAGAGGGTCAGCTTTCTTTATTGTGCTGAGCGTTGGCTCATTTCTATCCCCAAGAAATCCTCAGGGTAGAGGGTCAAAGTAGTGGAAAGTTCTGTCTGCCAGATGCTTGAACTTGTCCAGATGATTGTGTTGTTTTCTAGGTGAAAGATGATAGTTTATTATTAAGTATTGTGAACAAGTTAAAAACATGTGCCTTTTCCCCTTAGTGTTTACCCATAGTTCACTTTTCCTTGCTGCAGGTAGTACTTGTTATTGTAACACTCCATCTAGCTAAGTGGTTGATTGCATTGTATTCCAAGTGCCCACATTACATTTCTAGGTGAAAGAGCGTCATACCCAACTGTCATGAAACCTAACCCATGTAACCTCGTGTAATCCTTTGGGATTGACTAGTGCAGAAAGCTGGCTCAGGCATCTCTTATGTGTTCTGTCATATCACAACAGAATGAAGATTTCAAGAGTCTAAACATTGTCTTTCAAATGCCAACATGTGTGCTTATCCATGAGTGGTTGTGTCTGATAAGTGTCCCCAAAGACCAAGCAGAAATAATTTCAATCTTTGTTGTTAATGTTCAGGTCCTAGAAATTAACAAAATAAAAAATCTGAGACAGTGCACAGAGGAATTCATTCCTTTATTGGTTTATCAGATTTACATTATGGGCCATTTTCTCTGCCAGTGAAGGGAATACAGGATGAATAAGAAACAGTGCCTAGACTCCTAGAATACAGTGGGGAACAAAGATATATAAACAGATTATCATACAAGATAAATGATATTATAAATATATGCTGCCTATTATTGCAACATGCTGGAAGGGTACCCAACTCAGCCTAAGATATGCTTCTGATTAGAATGGATGCAGCTGCTTACTATACTTAACTTAGCTTGTCAGTGATCCCCTATGAAACCATTAGTACATATATCTCTTAGGCTCTCTCACTAATCCACTTTGTCACAGGAGTCCACAAGAGGACATTTTACTTCCTTCTGCCTCAAAACTACTTTATTTTCAGACTTAAGCAGCAGTGATTATTGCTATTTCTCGTTATTATCTCTTTTATCTATGTTGTGCCCCTAGATGGAAAGTTCAATCAAGAACCTCCAGGAGTCAGATCATGTGGGGCCAGATATATGGTGAGGACATAACCCATCTCCTAGGAAATGGAAATAAGGATGACACTGATGGTTTCTCCCTAAACTGAAGCTTTATAATCCAGCTGCTTTTTCAGTATTTTCCTTTGGATGTCTAGTAGTATAGCCAAACCTACTCTTGATTCTTCTCCAAAAATGCCTGTCCTCCTATATCCCACATCTCAGCAAATGACATTTCTACTTATCTCTTTGGCTAAGGCCAAAAACCTTGGAATCATTCTTGACTTTGCTCATTCTTGTTTATATTGCATCCAGTCCATCAACGAATCTTGTTTGTTCTGCTTACTTCTAGAACAAATCTAGAATCTAGGCATTTCTCTCCATTTCCACTGTACTGTTCTTCATGAAGACACCATCATCTCTCATCTGAATTACTGTAGTAGTCTTGAATATTGCCATGTGTTTGCCTGTGTCATTTTCAGTTTTTTACCTACATAGTAAAGAGTGAACCTTTGAAAACTTAAATGTGATCACATCTTTTCTCTGCTCAAAATCCTCCAGTGACATCATAACACAACTAAAATTTCCAAAGTCCTCACAATGGCTGGTAACACCTGATGTGATCTGGCCATGTTTACTTTCCTGGCTTATCTCCTGTGTACTTCCCCCTTCCCCCTTACTCCTTTCTAGTACCGGTCACACAGCCTTCCTTGTTCCATGAACTCATAAGGCACATTCCTACTTCAGGGACCTTGCACTTACTGTTCCTCTGTCAGGCACTCTTCTTGCCCTAGATTTTATATGATTTATTCTTCATTTCACTCAGATCTCTACTGACCTGTCACTTAAATAAGCAAGACTTATCCTAAGTATCCTATAAATGAGAGAGCCATATCCAACAATATGCTGTTCTCTTACTCAACCTTATCTTTCTATATATCATGGATCACCACCCTATTTTCTTTTATACATTTAGTTATTGTCTCTTTCTCTCCACACTAGAAAATAAGTTTCCTTCAGAGCAGAAACTTGGATTTGCACTTTGCTGTATCTTCAGTGCATAGAACAGTTCCTGATTCAATGGATATTCATTAAATATTTAATTAATGAGCAATGATAATAGTAGTGATAACTTCCATTTCTACTGAGTACTAATCTATGTTGGGCTTTTATGAAATAATAATCCCATTTTATAGAAGAAGTACCTGAGACTTAGAGAATTTAAAGAATTTTTCCAAGGTCTCATATCCTGCAAATCATTTCTGATTCTAGAACTTAGTCCCAAACTTTAATGTTTATTCAGAACCTTTTAAAAAGTGAGATTTTTGTGTGTATGTGTGTATCTGTATTTCTGACTAAAACAATGGAAATCTAAGCCAAAAATTACCAAACAATATCTACAGCAGAGGGAGAAGAGAAGGTGGAATGGAGCGAAGCTAGATTTTTTATAATTTTAGCTTTGGAGCTACATAGATGTTTCGTGTAATTAAAAAACAAAATTAGGGGTTGGGGTGTGAGCCAGTGGTAGAGCCCTTTCCTGGCCTATGTGAGGCCCTGCATTTGATTCCTAGCACTGAAAAGAAAAATCATATATAAAACTACAGATTTCAGGGTACCACCCCAGAATCACCGAATCAGATTCTCTGCATGCAGGACTCAGGAATTTGCATTTTTATTAAGTCTGGATGATTCTAATGCAGCTAATCAGGAGCTTATGCTTTGTGAGACCCTATTCTTTGTTAATGACTCAAAGAAGGAAGGCAGTCACTACCTTTTCTATATCTATGGAAGCCATCTTTGGTCCAGGAATGGAATTGTTTATTGCAGAGGTTGGACTTCATTGCATTGTTGTATGGAGCTTCATTAGGTTAATTATGAGTAAGAGGGCCCAGCCTTACTTCTCAGGACAGATCAAGTCCAACCTTGATACACAGGAGTAGGTCATCAGGAGCTTTCTAGGGCTGTATGTTACCTGTTTGTTATGTGTATGATAACTATTTGTGTAATATGTTCTACTTTCTGATGTGCAGTATTGAGTTTCAGAAGACTCCATATTCAGCTTAACAAGCTCTTGTTAAGCTGAATGTTTGGTAACAAGGCTTGTTCTCTGCATTGTGTGTGCATAGCTGTGTTATATGGTGACATGTCCTAGAGAGTGGAGGACTCAACATGAGTCAGGTCCTCTACCTGAGTTCCATAGCCACATCAGATCCCTTTAAGGTTTCTTATCGTTAGCATATCTGGAAGACACATCATTTGTCCTTATGAGTTTGAGGTCTAGAAATAGTGTTCCCTCAGCACTTCCAAATGAAAGCTTGCAAAGGGACAAATAACACTTCAATTTTAAAAATATCTCAGTGGATTTATTCTGATTCCCTTTTATGGCCAGTTGAGTAGCCATTTGATAGGAAGTATCTTGGCAAATAAGCATTTCAATAAGAATGGGAAATAACTTGAATGTCATGCCTAGGAGTTTGACTTCATATTTTGGTTGTGCATTTTCATGAGATTTTTAACCTCATTGTGAAAGCATTGTGGATCTACTCTAAGAGAGCTGGCAGCAAACGTGAAAGAATGTGCAGAATGAGACCAGTGAGGCTGGAAACTAGACAAGGCTGTTTTCAGGGATCCCTTGGGAGAGGGAGTACCTTGTGGAATTTAAAATGAAGGACCTTGGCTGACCTGGGGAAAAGACCATTGATAGAAAGAAAGGAAAACAGGATTTGATTGGGGTCTTGGGGACAGAGTATAGTGATAAGGATGGGGAAGATGGTGAGCCATGTTTGTCCTTTGTTTTGACTATAGAATTTTATGTGATATAAGTGAACTAAAAGTTTTTTCTATTCCTTTTTATTTATATTTGAAGTATCAGTGGGTGTCCCAAAAATTGACTTTATTATTGCTAAATTGCTTGATACAATGCTACATAAATGAATTCTAAACATAGTATCGTTTACAAAGTAGACACTGTGAACTCAATTGCTTTTTCACCATGTTCACTCTAGCATAAATTTCCAGCATTTCATCATGGTTAGTACTATTTCTGGGTTTCTGTATATGTCACTTAAAGCACCAGTGTCTTACTTTCTATGTCCTTCCTATTCTTTAAAACATAAGATAAACGAACATAAAATCACTATCTTTTTCTGGACAACTAAGGACATCAGGCTGGAGAAATATTCCTAATATGGAACCTGATCTGATTTTATAAATATATAACTACTGCCTTTCAGACAGCCTCTGGCCAACAACACCCATCCTTTGACATGGCATGCTTTAGTAAGTGCTTCACAGGATGTGGTTAGGACAGACAGGTTGGGGTTAGAATCCTAACTCTTTATCACCTATTATGTATGACTGGGCAAGTGCTATATCCCCTAAGCCTCAGCTTCTTCATCTATAAAATGGAGACTTTTTGTTTTAATAAAGGGACCTACTTTAAAGAATATTTGTGAGGATTAGTGAAAAATGAGATATGTGTTTAGCATTTCCTCAAACACAACATATGCACAATAAAGGTTATCTATGCTAGTATCCAATATAGTCATATACCACCCACATAACAATGTTTTGGTAAATGAGGAATGATATATACAGTGTTGTATACCATGTAGATTGTGTGTAGTAGGCTATGTCATTTAAGTTTGCATAAGTACACCTGTGTTGTTTGCACAACAGTGAAATCATCTGATGACATGTTTCTGTCGTTAAACACGCATGGCAGTATTTTATTTTGTAGAGCAAGAGAGTTTATGAAAGGAATGAGTGATCTTAATGTTACAACTTCAAAAAGCTGAGGAGGGCCTGGTGTGGTAGTGCATGCCTATAATCCTAGTGACTCTGGAGACTGAGGCAAGAGGTTTGCAACTTTGAGGCCTCAGCAACTTAGTGAGACCTTGTCTCAAAAAATAAAAAGGGCTGGAGATTTAGCTCAGTGCCCCTGTGTTTAATCCCCAGTGCCAAAAAAAAAAAAAAAAAAAAATAAGCTAAGGAGGTATCTTTACATTATTAACTTCCCTACATGATGTAATATGGATCTTCCTGAAATGCCTCCCAAAATGTGGTCCTTGAACCAGCAGCATCAGCATTACCTGGGAACTTGTAGGAAATGAAAATTCCTGAGCCTGCTTCTTAATCTACTGAATCAGAAACTTAACAAGGCCTGGAAATCTGTTTTAACATAACCTCAAATAATTATGATATAACTTAAGGTTTTTAACCCCACTCAGTGGCCAAGGCCTTTTTATATGTATATAATAAGAGCTTTATTGAGATGTAATTTACATACCATACAGTTTATCCATTTGAAGTATACAATTCACTGGTTTTCAGTACATTTGCAGAGTTGTGCAACTGTGATCACAATAAATTTTAGAACATTTTATCACTCCCAAAAGAAACCCAATATCCACTAAAATTCATTCCTCCTTGCTCCCTGAGCCCACCAGCCCTTAACAACCTCTAATCTTTCTGTCTCTGGATTTACCTATTCTGGGCATTTCATATAAATGGAATCATCGCCTTTTGTGTGTGGATTCTTCCACTTAGCATAATGATTCCAGGTTCATTCATTTTATAGCATGCATCAGTACTCTCTTCCTTTTAATTATTGGCTAATATTCCACTGTTTGGATATACCACATTTTGTTTCACCAGTTGGTGGGCATTTTGGTTATTCCACTTTTTGGCTATTATAAATAATGCTGCTCTTAACTTTTGTGTCCAGTTTTTATGTGGATGTATGTTTTCAGTTCTCTTGGTATAAACCTTGGAATGGAATTGCTGAGTCACAGGGTTACTCTATATTAAATCTCTTGTAGAACTGCCAGACTGTTTTACATTCCTGCTAGCAATGTGTAAGGGTTCTAACTTCTTCACATTCATTATTATGTGTGGACCATCTTTTGAGATAATGAATTCTGTAAGTTTATTACACTAAAACATTTATTTTTCCTAAAATAAAATCATTAAACCTCCATAGGATGCCTCTTAGCTGTTATTTCTGAGGTTAGATACCCTAGTTTCATGTCTGCTGTCCATTTTATTATGTTATAAACTTCCATACTTTCATCATATTCTTTTCTTTTGATACTGCAAATTGAACCCAGGAGCACTTAACTATGGAACCACATCCCCAGTTCTTTTTCATATATATATATAATTTTTTTTTTTTTTTTTAAGAGACAGGATCTCACTGAGTTGCTTAGGGCTTCACTAAATTGCTGAGGCTGGCTTTGAACTCACAATCATCCTGCCTCAGCCTCCCAAGCCATTGGGATTATAGGATGTGCCACTGTGCCTGGTCCATCATATTCTTTTTATTTGAACTAAAAGTTATATATATCAGTAAAAAATATGTATCTTAATAAGAAATTAAATAATAAAAAATGAAAATCTTCATCTGTTTATATTAATAAAAGTGAAAAAAACATCTTTTTGGTCTGCTTCATTTTGAAACAGTGAAGTCAGGGACTTTTTTATCCACAGACTAATAAAATAATATCTTAAGCCTAGTAATTGTTAAATAAATTTTTTTCATTAGTTTATTCTCAAACCTTTCTTTTATTTTTCCAGTATTAGTGCTCAAACCCAGAACTTTCTACATTTAGGCAGGCCCTCTACTACTAAGCTATGCCCTCAACCTTTTCAGATAATTCTTGAATATGAATATTCCTTACCAGAATACCTGCTATCAAAACTCGTTTTCTTGACCCTTTTGATGGTTTATTATAAGCCCAGCTAAAGAAATAGCATCACACCACAGTGAATTGACATTTCTCATGGCCTTTATCTTTTCTAGAGGAATGGCTTCTTGTTGGAACCAAGCAAGGACATCTTCTTCTCTATAGGATTCGGAAGGATGTTGGTAAGTGACAAACTTTTCAGAACCAAGAAAGAAATGACTTATGCATTAAAAAAAATTGGTAATTGACTAGTATACAACTGTGAAATCATTGATTCCTGGAACATTAAAAGAACGATGATAGGGGGTTGGAATGAACACAGTGGGAAAATGGGGAGAGACATGAAAACTGAAAATCTCCAGGATTTTTTCTATACCCCCATCTTGGAGATGGGGCTGAATATTGATCCCCTCTTCATTCACTGTCAGTAATAAGAATATTACTTTGGGAATAAGATTCCTGTATAGATGATGTGTAGTGGTAGGGGGAAAATTAGGTACCACTGATGTAGAAGATCTTATTAACTTGTGAAGGGTAGACTAGAAAGAGAAGATGGGTTTGTGTCCAGTTTTACTTCTCCCTCCCTGGCCACATGACTGTAAGAAGCCCTTGGTAATGTCAGTTTCTCTTCTGTAAACTGTTTCACAAAGTTGTTGGGGGCAGATAAAATAATAAACTTAAAAGGACTTTGAAAATTACAGCTCTGGTTAAATTAAAACTCTAATTAAATATGACTTTTTCTTTAATAATGTAGAATAATAGCTAAAGAATCTGAAATTTATTCTGTTAAAGAGTGTCCTTTCCTAATCCTTTTTCTTAATCTTATTTCTTTGCTCTCTTTATGGAAAATTGTTTTTTAACTATTAAGCCCTGAAACCACAATCTTAGAGGCCTGCTGTTAATATCAGAGTAGGTTGAACTGAATTGTCATTATCAATATATTTGCCCTACAAAATCAGTGATTTCCTAGTTTTCAATCTAGTATGTATTTCCATAGTAAATAGCTAAAGATAAGAGTAGGTGTAGAGGCCTGAAGCAAGACTTATATAACTATGGGAAAAAGGAGCATTTAACCTAGGCAGTATGGAATGAGGAAGGCACACTGGTCAAGCCAAGTGTGGAGTAAAAAGAGGAACCAAAGGAAAAAATACAGAGTTTATTTCAATTCTAAGTTTGTCAATTTTCCTTTGAATTAGTGGTAAGTAAACTCATACCTAAAAGGTCCAAGTAGTAAATATTTTAGGCTTTGTATAAGATCTATCAAGACTATTCTGCTCTACCATTGTAACATGAAAGTAACCATAGGTGATGTGTAAATGAGTGGGTGTGGCCATGTTCCTGTAAAACTTTATTTACAAAAACACATAGATGACTCAATTTGGCCCACAGATAGTACTTTGCTGGTCCTTGCTTTGAATTTTTAGTTTTCAGAGCCAGAATATTTGTATTCTGTGACATGTCAATAATTGATATGTAATAATTAATTGACGTGTAATTGACATGTAATAATTTAAAAACTAAGCTTGTCTTGGATATTATTCAGCATTTAATAGCTATTTTTTTCTTATATCCTGTGGGCTCAGATGTAAGTGGTGAGGCGCTGAGAACTAAATTAAAATTGCTTCTTGATTTTTTTGCTAAGATCAAGTAGGAAACTAGAGTATAAAAATGAATCTTTCAACACAGCATAGACTCAAACTGGTAATGTTAGTGTTACCCTGACTTGGAACCCTGGTCCAAAGGAAGGACTGTTTCTTGTCCTGCGATCGTGTGGCCTTTGACAAGTTAGTTAAATTCTTGGGCCTCAATTTCCCCATAAGTGTCTTAAAAAGTGGTATTAACCTACGTTAAATAATTAGAAAATCAAACTCTAATTTGAAACTTTACTTCAGTAAGCTTCACTTCTCCCTGTATACACAGAGAATAGTTTAGTTCTGGCCTGATAAGGGATAGAAATAGACTTGGCCCTCTTTGAATCAGTCTAGTTTCTCATTTGAGATATTCAAATCAAGGCTGACTTTCCAAGGAATGGGAAGGGATATTAAAGTGTTGGGGAAAGCTTGGATTCTGATCTAATTTACACCATCTCCCTGGAGATAAAAAATGTCTCCAGGTTTCATTCTACTCTTATCTTTAATCCAGGGATTAGATTAGTTCACATCTAAGACTTTCAACTCTAGGTTTGTTTCAGTGGTACTGTTGCCTTAGAGCATTGGTTTTCTGAGTGTAATCTATAGACCCCAGTGTCCTGAAAATCTTTCAGAGGGCCCACAAAGTTAAAACTAAGTTCACAGCAACACTAAAATATTAGTGTTTTGTTATTGTTGTTGTTTTTACTGTATTGAGCTCTTCAGTAATGGTGATAATTAAAATTGGCCCCTAAGCTGAACTCGGGACAGTGTTTCCAAACTGTATTCACGGTCATTGTGTTATTTTCTACCAGGTACTCAAAATGAGTTTCTGGAGTTTTGTTTTTTGTTTTGTTTTTTGTTTATTTTGGTACTGGAGATTAAACCCAGGGGTGCTTTACTACTGAGCTACATTCCTAGCCCTTTTTATTTTTTATTTTTGAGACAGGGTCTCACTAAGTTACCTAGGGCCTTGCTAAGTTGTTGAGGCTGGCCTCAAACTTGCATTTCCTTCATCCTCCAGAGTCACTGGTGTTACAGACATACACCCAATGAGTTTTGTTTTTAAGCTAGTTTCACTTAAGAATGTTCTTGTTGAAACCGAAAAAAAATTAAATTTATTAGATTTTGATCTTTGATAACACATTTTAAAAATTGTGATATAATGGGAAATGTACAACTTCAGTTGGGTGCCAAGGTGCATAGCTGATAGCTTTTTTTGATAAAAAGTAATTATTGTGTGCTTGAGTTGCAAGCTAAATTGGCCATTTTTTTAATGGAGTGAAAAGAATGACTGACAGACTGGTTTTTGAGACCATTTGGGTATTTGGTTGGTGTATTTTCAAAATGAAGTGTTGTTATCTCAAAGAAAACAACTGGCAGGCTTATTGGAAATGACAGAGCTTTCAAGAGAAAGTTAGGATTGTGGAAAACTTATATCTACCTTTAAGAGTTTCTCCTTGATAGCTTCCCAGTGAAATTGGGGATGATAATTATGAGTATGAGTTAAAAAAAAAAAAATCTTATAATGAAATGTGCTAGCGTTTGGAAAATCTGCCTGACTTAATGAACCAGTATTTTCCAGGTAATCAATGCATGAAGTTTCTAAATCATGCATGTGTAAAAGATTCAATCAAAGTGTAAGATAGACTTATGGATTTTAATGTATCCAAGTGTGAAAAGTTCATTGATAGGCTTGAGATTGATTCCACATTGCAAGAAATTCCATTTATCAAGTTTCATATAGTATTTAAAAAGATCCATAATTCTCTGAAAAAGCTATCAAAACAGATTAAACATAAGGTTGTGATGTAGCTCAGTTGTAGAGCACTTGTCTACCATGCAGGAGGCCCTGAATTTGATCCCTAGCACTGTAAAAACAAAAACAAAAATAAATGCAGAAGCAAATGTGAGAGACCAGCTGTTTTCTATTAAGGTGGACATTAAAGAGGTTTACAAGAGGGCAGGGGTGTGCTCAGTGGTAGAGTACTTGCAAAATATGCACAAGGCCCTGGGTTTGATCCCTAGCGCTGAGGGGGAAAAAGGTTTATAAAAATGTAAAACAGGGGCTGGGGTTGTGGCTCAGCGGTAGAGCGCTCACCTAGCGCAGGAGAGGCCCTGGGTTCGATCCTCAGCACCACATAAAAAATAATTAATTAATTAATGATATTGTATCCAACTATAACTAAAAAGTAAATATCTTAAAAAAATGTAAAACAATGCATTTTTTTAGAAAAAAATAGTTGTCTTTCATTAAAATGTTACATTTTGAGTTAAATATAAGAATGAGTAAATAGGTACATATTTTAAATATTTCTCAATTTTAATTTCTAACATAATAAGCATTCATAAGGTATAACCTACATAAAAGTTCTTTGTGGTGCTCTTTAAGATTATATGAAGAGGGCAGGGGATGTGGCTCAAGCGGTAGCGTGCTCGCCTGGCATGTGTGCTGCCCGGGTTCTATCCTCAGCCCCACATACAAACAAAGATGTTGTGTCCGCTGAAAACTAAAAAATAAATATTAAAAATTCTCTCTCTCTAAAAAAAAAAAAAAAGATTATTATGAAGAGGTCATGAGACCAAGAAGTTTGGGAGTTGGGGCTGGGGATATGGCTCAAGTAGTAGCGCGCTCACCTGGCATGCATGAGGCACTGGGTTCGATCCTCAGCACCAAATAAAAATAAAATAAAGATATTGTGTCCACCTAAAGCTAAAAAAAATTAATAATATATATAAAAAAAAGAAGTTGTTTGGGAGTCTCTGCCCTAGAGAATTCTGCTTATAAAGAGAATTGTTGAATGTAATAATAAAGCCCTTTTCAAATATAGAATTTTTTATCAAGTAAGAAGTGACTGAATTGTTTGTTTCTTTTGAAATGTGATGGCAGAATACCATGTTCCAGAAACTGTCTTCAAGTTTAGGACCCCATCTTTATCTCTTCTGCTGAGGTGCACAAAGGGAAGAAGACTTGTTCTGTTGACATGAGTCCCTGTGGCTGTTTCAAAGAGTCTCCACCAACTTCCCAGGGTTAAGGACACAGCAAGCTGTGGGGAAGAGCTCAGATCAGCAGTGTGAGCATTCCTTCCATGATGTAAAAGGCAGGAAACAGGGTGTGGCTTCAAGCTCAGGCTCAGAGCGATCCCTGAATTTTTTCTAGGTTTTGTCCATGACTGGCTGCTCCCTAACTGCTTGACCCATCAGACTTTTGAAATATGAATTTGAAATACCTACTTCTTGGGGTTTGTTGTCAAATTACAGAAAAAATATATAAAACTTTTAACTCAGAATCTGGTACCTGTTTATTACTGAAAGATAGCTGCTGTTATTGTTATGGTAATTACTCTCTATTTGACTGGTGACTTCTGAGGCTGAATATTTTTGTCATCCCCAACAAGGCTGAGTTCACATGTTTTTATAGTATATAACTTTCTTCCCCTTTTTTGTAACAGTGCCAGCAGATATAGCATCGCCTGAAAGTGGCAGTAAGTGTAGATATTAAATTTCTCTGGCTCTGAGATGGTGTTTGTGTTTGCTCTGTCCCCATGATGTAGGACATAGGGAGCTACTGGGAGTTAGTTGTTCTAGAGGTAAGAATGCTTTGGGCTGGGTTTCATTGCTTGGGCTCTTATATTTGACTATTACTTTTTAAAAACTGTTCCTTGTGAAACACTTTGCCAAGGTACTTATTTTGTAGGGTAAGATCTTCAGACCCACAGGTACCTTGCAGCTTCAGTAAACTTTGTGTGATCCTTTCTGCTGATGCCAAAAGTGCATAAAACCCCTTGTTCTAAAATTGGAGTTTAAAGCAATTCACTATGCTTAGTTAATACTGCTGGCTATTTTAAATCTCTGACTTATGAATTTTTGAAGATTTATAGGAGATTAGTATGAGTGGCATTTTGTTGTTGTAGTTGTTTTTGTGTGTACCCCTATTTTGGAGCTACAAATGTTTTTCTTTTTCATAGGTTGCAACAGGTTTGAAGTGACACTAGAGAAATCCAATAAGAATTTCTCCAAAAAGATTCAGCAGGTAGGTAGTGATGATGGTCACTAACTTATATAAGGCCCTGCTGCATTAGTCTATGTTTCTTTAATGAAATACCTGAAGCAGGCTGTTTTGTAAAGAAGAGATTCATGTAGTTCACAATGCTGGAGGTTCAAGGACATGATGCCAGCGACAGCACAGCTCTGGTGAAGGCCTCTTGGCAGGACTACATGTGAGAAGGAGAGATTGTATTGACAAACAGGAAGAAGCCAGAGAGTGATTCAGGAAGGAACTTAATTCTTTTATAAGAACCATCTACTGATCACTAATGCAAGAATTGCATGAGAACTACCTTAAGCACTTCTAATGGCACATCCCTAATGACTTAAGGACCTCCCACCAGGCCTCACCTCTTAATATCATCACTGGGGACCAGGCTTCTAACACATGAACCCTTGAGGGACACCGTCAAACCATATCCAAAGCACAGCACTCACCAAAGTTAAAACTTTGATAATGTTACTTATTAACTCTGAATCCTCTTCTCTCTCCCCTCCATTTTTACAGGGATCTTTGCCCGTGTATTATGTGCCTGAGAGTCCCTTTCATAAGCAGAAATTGTGGTTGCACATAAAAATGAGTCAGATCCTTATAAGATGTAGACAGGCTCTTTAGTTCCTTTTTAATATTGTTGTTAATGAACATTTGTTAAATGTTGTCAGAAATGTTCAATTGAGTCTAATGATTTGCTATTTTCTAGATCCATGTTGTTTCCCAGTTTAAGATTCTGGTCAGTCTTTTAGGTAAGAAAAAGTTTGCATTTGTATTTCATATGTTAAAAAACTAAAGCTATGACCTAACTAACACTTTCATGGTTGTTTTGATAATAGTTATATAACAATAAATTGCCATGTTCTGTGCCACATATAGTACTAGGGCCTATGGGTAACAAAGGCAGCATCACTTCATTTATTTAATTATCAATCAAGTTTTTATTGAGCCCTACTCTGCAAAGCTTGAACTAGATATTGGGAATACCAAGTTCAATAAGACATTGTTTCTATCCTTCATCTTTATATTCTAATCGTGTAGGCTGAGTAATAGAAAAATCATGATATAAGTTACAGTGAAAATTTATAAAAAATGTTGTGGGATCATAGTAATGGGAGGGATTATGCTATGTAGTTGGATGATTAGAATTTCCACAGGAACAAAGAGGTGGCCCCATGACTTGATAGTACATAGCAAGTAGTTCATTATGGCCAGACTTGAGATATGTGGTGGAGAGTGGCAAGCTATTGGTTGAGAGACAGATGGAGGCCAGACTGTTAGGGCCTTGTTTGAAAAGCTGTGGTTTCATGGAAGGTAGCCAGCTAGGCCCTTTTTAGGACTAGAAATTTGCCTAACCCTCTTTAGCCCAGGGCCCAAATAGCAGAATTATTGTAAGCTTAAGTTCCTAGGTCCACTGATGAACATTTAAGGCAATTAAATCTTCATGACAACAACTATATATGAGGCCAGGATCAAATTACATTTGTCCCTCTTATACACAGTTTCACTTTCTATAGTTTAGTTACTGCTGGGTTTCTGTTCTCGTGACTAAAAGGCTCAGGGTTTACTCCAGTTGAACTGGGCTGACTGGGCTGCGCAAAATAACCACACAAGAGATACAAATACCTTTTTCTTTGGGTTCGCTGTGTTAGCTCCTCTGACCTTAAGGGTCCGCAGGAAGAGAGAGAGTGAGAGCACGTGCTGACCCCTTTTATTGAGGAGAAGCTGTTCAAATGAGGCAAGGGGTCAGGTTTCAGGGGACTGAATCTATCTTTATGATGTCCACTGTCAGCAGGTTGACTGACACCTGGGTAGGCCACACCCAAGGACACAGTAAGAGAAGGGGACCCACACACACAAGGCACTTCATGGAAGATTCTATCCTAAACAGGGAAAGGGGTTATATTACAAAGGAACAGGTGTGCATAGCTTCAGCCATAGGGCTGTAGCAAGACACACCCATGCATGAGACATGGATCCTGGAACCCAAGAAGGGTGGGGAAAACTCTGCCACATTTCTGTGACTGAGCGCCTCAGCACCCAGCCAGGGAGTGTGACTCAGTCACGTGTAAGGTTGGTCTCCCACAAGTTACCTGTAGTCAACTGTGGGTTTGAAAGAAGAGCGGTGAGGGCTGGGGATGTGGCTCAAGCGGTAGCGCGCTCGCCTGGCATGTGTGCGGCCCGGGTTCGATCCTCAGCACCACATACAAACAAAGATGTTGTGTCTGCCGAAAACTAAATAAATAAATATTTAAAAAAAAAAAAAAAAAAAAAAAGAAAGAAGAGCGGTGAGTACGTGGGTACAGTATAATAAGTTTTTTTTTTTTTTTGAGAAACCATATTCATATAATTTTTTGTTAACAGTATATTATTATAATTGTTCTTTTATTTTAAAAAATCTTTTACTGTGCCTAATTTATAAATTAAATTTTATCATGAGTATGTTTGTATAGGAAAAACATAGTATATATTCGGTTTGGTACTATATTGATTCAGACATTCACTAAGGATCGTGGAACTAGGTAGCCTAACAGAGACTATTGTATTATTTTGCTACCTTTGCTGCAACAGAAATCCTTTCCATGGGTTTGTACAAAATCCACTGAGGATTTCCTTTTTTCTCATTAGAGCCTCCTATATTATAGCTTTGAAAGACATTTCTTGTACAAATACTATATCACAAATTTCCAGACTTGAGGACAGGTTATAAGGGTGCTATGGCAGTGAAAGAGCTTTTACTCAAATCAGTCCAAATTTTTAAGGAATGAAATATCCAAGTTCAAAAGACCAGGTGACTACTTACATATTTTGTACTGGTGATAGCCCAGAAGGAAAACAAATAAAACTGAAGGTACATCCTAGCAACATCTTCTGCATGTCAGACAGTTACATTTTTGTCCTAAAGGTGGCTCTCCTAGAGAATGGTGATCATTGACAGTGACATTTTACCTCTTCCTAAACAGAAAACAACATTTATGTCCATGACCTATTGACATTCCAACAAATCACTACAGTTTCAAAGGCAAAAGGAGCATCGCTATTCACATGTGACCTTCAGGTAAGTGTATGCAGGATGTACTTTGACTTTGTGCTTTAATCAGTATAGTCTTTCCAACATTCCTACCATTTCATGGTAAGAATGATATTGACAGTCTCAATCCAACAGCTGTCAAAGAGACTTTGATTTATTTACTTTGGATTATATTAGAGAAATTTCCTCCATAGTATATGGTGCCAGGTTGAAATATTTGCATTCTCTGTGTGTGTAATTAGAATACCAGACATCTGTGCTGGAGTTCTTAGCTGGCAGGCCTTGAGGACGAAATGTTCCTTAGCCAGTTGTTTCTAAATACATCTTAGAGAACTTTTCTGGTAGCAAGACTTTATATTACAGGGGATTTTCAGATCAATAGATATTTCAAGGTAGAAAATGCATATTTTTGTTGTCACTCAGTTATAGAGTCACTATATATGCATCCTCATTTGCCATGTCTCTTCATAGCACACAGATACTGGTGAGGAGGTATTGCGGATGTGTGTAGCAGTGAAAAAGAAGCTGCAGCTTTACTTCTGGAAAGACAGGGAATTTCATGAATTGCAGGTATAGTCCATTGGTGCCTTGTTTATGGGTTGGGTGGAAACTGCTGCCAAAGTTGGCCCATAGCTTGAGAGACTTTCTGTGGATTCTAATGAAGTTTAGCATCCCCAGCTTGTAGTTCCTCTCAACCCAATACTCTAGTATGAAGAACCTGAAAGTTATCCATGCCCACTTGTGATATAATTCTATAGCATTTCTGCAGATTGGTTTATTTCAGAATGTGTTTTCTTTCACCTTTTTTCAACTGGATAAGATGCACTTTGTCCTGTTCCTGGGTGACTTCTATTTTTATTAAGAGTAGTTTCCTGGCCTTGTGCTTAGAGAATTGTGCTAAGATGAGGGTGAGGGTTATTTTGCAGAAATGAAGCATACTAACAGAAAGGTCATGGTTTTGTTTGTTTTAACATCTTTTCATTTGAACTTTTACTCTCTCTCTTCAGGGGGACTTCAGTGTACCAGATGTGCCCAAGTCCATGGCGTGGTGTGAAAATTCTATCTGTGTGGGTTTCAAGAGAGACTACTATCTAATAAGGGTAAAAATCTTATGATTTTACAAATGTCATCATTGTGTCTTGGGAAAGATGATTATGAGTTTACCTTGGAAAGATGATTACATGGTTCTGAACTATAGGTCAGAAGACCACCTTAAGTAGGGCTTTTGGGTCTGTGTTTGTTTCTCTATTTGTTTGTTGTTTATACTCAGCATTTTCCACAAATAAGATGTCTGTGTAGCTTAGATCAAGCAGAGTTGACTTTTAGTTCTCTATATAATGATTATCCACAGCATGTATCTAATTATTAGGACAGAGAGTTAGAGCTGCTTGTGTAGGTCCAACAGCATTATCATGGACTGCTATCCTAAGGCTTCAGTGCTCAGGAATTATATGTCAGTTTTAGTGTTAACTAAGGTATTTTTGAGACTTTGGTCTCCTGCCCCCTTAAATTTCTTAGTATATTTGTTTTTCAAATTACTTTCAGATTTTTTGTTGTTGTTGTTGTTGTCGTCGTTGTTGTTTATTTCAAAAGCTACATGTGTGTATTATAGAAAATAAGAAAACAGAGATAAGGGAATAAAGTAAATGCAAATCATTCAGAAACCTCCCTGCCATTCAGAAATAATCCATGGAGGTAAGAGGTATAGCTCAGCATAGAGCACTTGCCTGGAATGCACAACGCTCTGGATTCAATCCCTAGTATTGCACAAAGAAAAGAAAGAATCACTGTTGACCATTTGGTGTATGGGTTTCTGCCTTGTTTACAAAAATATCATGTTTTACACATTGTTTCAATCTGCTTTTTCTCTTAAGTAGTAAATAAATACAACATTGGTTTTTTTTTTTTCTTCTAATATATATACTCTAGAAAAGATTGATATACCATTCCTATCATAAAGCAATCTAAATTCCTTAGCTTTACACAACTTTAATAATCCTTGGCAATTCTAGAAGGCTTTCTCCCTACTTCCCACTGTGTATCTTTTTGATATATTTGTTCTGTATGTTTATTTTTGGAATATTTTGATTTTACCAGCATTGGGTTTGCAAACTCCTGAAGGAATCACTGTTGTGCAGCTGACTAAGTAACAACTGAGCATATAGGTACTGAGAGAAGTCTACAAGGAGTGGAGAACTAAGCCAAAAGTGGGATTAGGGATCTCAATCCTCTGAATTCTGTGGATTCTTCTATCACCTCCACTATGGTAGGCAAATTTTCTACCACTGAGCTATATCCCCTGTCTCCTTCACCTTCTTGGGGATAGTTTTCTTCTTACATTTTTTTATTACATATGTATTTTTCATTGGCATATTATCATTATTATATATAGTAGTGGAATTCATTTTTAAGTACTTGTACATGCACACAACATAACTATAATTTGGGCAATTTTGTTCCCAAGAAGTGAAGTTTTCTTTCTTTTTTTGGTGGTACATGGAATTCAATCCAGGGCCATTCCACCACTGAGCTACATCCTCAGCCTGGTTTTCTTTCTTTCTTTTAATTTTTGGTAATTTTTTTAGTTGTAGATGGACACAATCAGTCAATCTCAACCTCTCTCTCTCTCTCTCTCTCTCTCTCTCCCCCCCCCCCCCCTTTCTCTCTCGCTTGACCCAGTGCCTCACATGTGCAAGCAAGATTTCTACCACTGAGCTACAGCCCGGTTCCTATCCCAAACCCCTTTATATTTTTTATTTTGAGATAGGGTCTCATCAAGTTGCCCTAGTCTTCAACTTGCGATCCTTTTGCCTCATCCTCTTGATTGGGATTATGGGCATGTGCCACTGCAATTGGCGGGGGTACAGTTTGCTGAAGGTAGGAAATCTTGCTTTGGACCCCAAGCTATTCAGAAGTTATTTATTTATTGACATACAACAAACTTCATTCCTTTTGTTATGCAATTGTTATGCATTTTTGACAAATGCCCAGAGTTGTGTAACTAATGTCATAGTTAAAATTCAGAGCAATTCTGGCCCTTGCTTCTCCTCTCCCAGCAAGGCCCGGGGGATCAGAGCAAGAAATGGGGACCATGTTCTACTCAAGCTGACGACTCTCGACTACCACAATCTTTCCAGCTTCAACTGTAAAGATGAAACAGAATTTAGAAATCTTATTGTTTGTCTTGAAGACCAGAAAATCAGAACTATAAGATTGAAGACAGGTAATTTAAGAAACATCCACAGCAGTGACTGGCCCAAGTTCTTTGAAAAGTATCTCAGAGATGTTAACTGTCCTTTCAAGATTCAGGATGGACAAGAAGCAGTTGACTGGCTTCTTGGCTTAGCTGTTAGACTTGAGTATGGAGATAACACTGAAAAATACAAAGACTTGGTACCTAATAATGCAAAAAATACTGACAGTGCAACTAAAAATGCAGAGCCCTTGATCAGTTTGGATGTAAATAATCCTAACTATAAGGCTGGTGTGATGGCTTTGGCTCACCTTCTTCAGATTCGGCCCATGTGATTACTTGGTAATGTTTAAGGCAATTCACATTTTGGTTCAAGAGCACTAAAACAAATTTTAAAAAAGAGGGCTTGCCTGTTGCTTTAGACAAACATATTCTTGGCTTTGACACAGGAGATGCAGTTCTTAATGAAGCTGCCCATATTCTGCAATTGCTGCATATAGAAGAACTCAGAGAACTACAGACAAAAATTAATGAAACCATAGTAGCTATTCAGGTAATTCAGCTATTTGAATTATTGCTGATCCAAAGACAGACCACCAACGAGGGAAACTTGGAAGATGAATACTTCAGGATTTTAGCTTCTTATCTACTTAGTACAATTGGGAACCAGTACGCTTCCGGCATGTGTTTGGAAATCAAATGTCATATTTTCAAGGGAGGAATCCCAAAAAATTGACTATGTTCTAGAGATTTACCACCATTGCTTTTTTCCTTAATAAAGTTTGGGAAAGTGAAGAAAAAAAAATTCAGAGCAATTTTGTCACCCTAAAAATTCCCTCAAAGTGCCCCTTTGAAATTAGCCCCTCACCTAACTCCCAAACCTCTGGTAACCACAGATCAGTTGTCTCTTTAACATTTATCTTTTTCAGAATTTTATGTAGTACAGTCATACAATAGGTAGCCTTTTGAATCTGGCTTCTTTCACTGAACATAATGTATTTGAAATGGATACATTTATGTTGTTTGTGACCATGGTTTATTTTTTTCATAACTGAGTAACATTCTCTGGTGTAGATGTATTATGGTTTATCCATTCAACAGTTGAAGGATAGTTATTCTCAGTTTTTAGCAATTATGAATAAAACTGCTATAAACACATGCATTCAGATTTTGCATAAACATAACTTTTCATTTCCCTTGGGCAAATGTCTTGGAATGGGGTTGATGGGTCATATGGTAAGTTTATATTTAACTTGTAAGAAACTGGCAAACAAAATGACTGTAGCATTTTGATTCCCACCAGCAGTATGTGAGAGCTGCAGTGGCTCTGCAACTTGGAGCACCTGACATCCTTAGTTACTTTCTGTATATTAAAGAACTGGTTTTATACTGTGATAAAAGTTGTTATAACGAACACTATGATACTTAATGTCAAACAAGGAATATCATGGGCTTTTCTTTTCAGGCTTTTTTCATGCCTCTGGCTAGGGAATCTTGATTGATTCACTTTGTCTTTTTCTAGGTGGATGGAAAAGGGTCCATCAAAGAACTCTTTCCAACAGGAAAACAGCTGGAGCCCTTAGTCGCACCTCTGGCAGATGGAAAAGTGGCTGTGGGTCAGGATGATCTTACTGTGGTCCTCAATGAGGAGGGAATCTGCACACAGAAATGTGCCCTGAATTGGACAGACATACCTGTGGCCATGGGTGAGACCAGCAATAGCTATTGTTTGCCGTTTTGTGCTGGTGTTGCATGTCATCCCTGTAGCATGGAGTCCCACTCATACATAGCTTTAGTAGACTGCTTCACGTTCCGCTCAGTTCCCTTCTTTTAAGTAGACAGTGTTTTTAGAGTCCTTAAAAATGAGATAACCTAGTTTTTACAAGAAGCTGAGTTTTGCTCCACAGTGGGGGGAAATGTAAACAGAAATGTACATTTTAGAAAGAGATTGTCTACTGCTAGTTTTACTTCTTGGTTTATTTTCTTCCACCTTCTTAATGTTTTTGTACATGCGTCTTCTTCCTAATAGACTACATTTGGAAGTTTGTGGAAATTCCTTATTTATTACTTTAATATGTATAACTTCATATGAAGAACTTTTGATGGTTGCCATTATTTTTGTAGCTTAGAGGCTCAGATTGCATTTAGGTGTCAGCTTCTGTCCTACACATTAGATGTTTCTGTTGCTATGTCTGCCTCAAGTTCCCAACTCTCTGCAGTAGCATTGCTTGGAAGCATGATGCCACTTTTGCAATAATTTCTTTGTGGTTAGAAGCATGAACATTTTTATATAGTCACTGCTGTGGAATGGGGCACAGACATGCTTTCTGTCTCTAAGGACTATAGCTCGAGGGACAAGCACTACGTCTTGGATAAAGACAAAAAACAAGTCACCACTTAAGGTGTTAATTGGAGTGCATTAAAATCCAGCAGTTCGCAGAGAGGGAAATTCATTGTTTAGTCAGGAAGACATTTCACTGTATAGGTAAGTTTGGACCAGACCAGGCAGGGAGTTTGGGATCTTGCTAAGAAAAATTTCCTTTCATTCTAGGCAGAAAGAGTAATGTGGAAATACAAAGACATGCTGATATGTGGGAGGTCGTTATAGATACTGACCTAGCTGAAATAGGTGATCTGAATTATGTAGGAATAAAATAGGCCAGTTGTTCCAGGTCAATGAAAAAATCTCAGAGGCCAGGGTTATACAAAATTACATACAATCAAGGGGGAGAAATGAATTACAGTAGATGGGGTAGAGAGAGAAGAGGGGAGGGGAGGGGAGGGAAGGGGGGATAGTAGAGGATAGGAAAGGCAGCAGAATACATGTAAATATGTAAATCAGTGCATGTGTAACTGATGTGATTCTGCAATCTGTATACGGGGTAAAAATGGGAGTTCATAACCCACTTGAATCAAAGTGTGAAATATGATATGTCAAGAACTATGTAATGTTTTGAACAACCAACAATAAAAATTAAAAAAATAAAACACATCTGAAAAAATAAATAAATAAATAAATTTCTTCTCTATAAGAAGAGAAAATTTGGACACAGAAACAGGAAAGGTTGTGAGAACACATAGTGAGAAACCAGTCATCTGTAAGCCACTGAGAGAAGAAACCAACTCTGCTGTCACCTTGATCACTTCCAGCACCCAGAGCTGTGGGAAAATGAATGTATGTTGTGTCAGCCACCCCATCTATGATAATTTGTTAGGACAGCCCTAGCAAATGATATGCGTGTAATTGTTTTTATGACCAGAGCTGATGTGACAATTAAAGTAGTTTATGTGATTAAAAAAAAAAAAAAGAATATAGTCAACTGATCTTTGAGAAAGGAGCAAAGTCAATACAGAACAACAAAGGAAATCTTTTCAACAAATGATGCTGGAACAAATGGACATCCATATATAGAAAAGTGAATTTAGACACAGACCTTGATAAGATGACTTTATGAAAATTAGGAGTGTCTGCTCTATCTAAAGGAGCTTAGAGAACAAGACAAGCCACAGATTGGGAGATATTTGCAAGTAACATATTTGATAAACAACCATTATCCAAATGTGCAAAGAAGTTTTTTGTGCAAAGAATTTTTAACCCTCAAATAATAAGAAAACAGTGTGATTTAAAAATAGATCAAGGAGAAAGAGAGAGGGAAGGAAGAAGGGAATAAAATAAATAAAATTGGTTCAAACACCTAAAAAAAAAAAAAGAATGTCTTAATAAAAGCATCACGTTCTGGTGGTATTTAGAGGAAGGTAAATAAAAAGGAAGGGAAATCAAAGGACAGTGTTTTAAAAGACCCAAGATTATGTATGTTGATAAGTTTGGGAATCCTAAGAGCATCACAGGCTGCTTCCTGATGTTCTAGAGAACCTTATTTTCCTTTTAGGAGAGAAAAAAATTGGCAGTTGAGCTCAAGATACACATAATTTGTTTGAAGGGTATTTCTGATTCCCTGGCGTGACAGTTCCTGTTTTAAAACCCTTGCTAGTTCCCAGTACCTTCCTTGGTGCTTCTCAAAAACATTTCTGTGCCTTAACCTACTGAGCCACATTTTGAGGCACTTCCTCTGTGAAGCCTTCTTTGGGCCAAAGATAGGATTAGTCACTCTTTCCAGCCTTCCACAACCCTCTGGGATATTGCTGTCATGGTACTGTATCACTCAGAATACAGTGAGTGATCTATGTCCTTTGCTCATGTAGGAGCTCTATAAGGTCTGGGCTTATGTCTTGATCCTGTTTAAATCCTTACTATGTAGTACAGTGCCTGAAACATCAGATCCTTTTAGAAAATACTTATTGAATAAATAAGTCATTATCTTTATCAGCCATCTGTTCATTGTATGTCTGCTATATGCTAGCCACCCTGACAAGTTTTGAAGTCATAATGAGATCCAGAAAGTCTCTATTATCAAAGAGTTGGGGAGACTGAATGAATAAGATGACAAGCAATTGAGTTTCTATTACAGATTACCTTTTTAAAAAAAAAAAAAAAATCAAATTAGACCTTATACAAATGGGCCAGATTTTGAAAGGAGAAAGAAATTTTTACATATTTATACAGTTAGCACTAAAAAAAAATTGTACTAACTTTTCAAATTGAGGCCAGCATAAAAAGAAAAAAAAAATTCAATACAAAACAACATAATTTTGATTTTTATTATTATTTTTGTTAAAATGAAAAATATTAGAACTGCCTGGCATGGTGGCACATGCTTGTGATCCCAGCAACTTGAGAGGCTAACTAGGAGATTACAAAATTAAGGCCAGCCTCAGCAACTTAGCAAGGCCTTAGCAACTTAGTGAGACCCTGTTTCAAAATAAAAAAATAAAAAGCACTGTAGTTGTAACTCAGTGATAAAAGCACCTCTAGATTCAATTCCCCAGACCCTCCACCCCCCAAAATCAGCATAATAATTGCAATAGCATTCAAACTGTGGTAAATTTGACTTGAAACTTCAAGTTATTTATTTTTTAGTTGCCTTCTAACCTTGAGATCTTATGATAGTGTTCAGAGTATAAATTCAAATATAATAGAGAAAGCTTTTTTTATCAGAAAATGGCTAATTAAGAACATAAATTCAGCTGGGTGGGGTGGCACACACCTGTAATCCCAGAAGCTATGGAGGCTGAGGCAGGAGGATCGTGAGTTCAAAGCAGCAACAATGAGGCGCTAAGCAACTCAGTGAGACCCCATCTCTAAATACAGTACAAAATAGGGATGGAGATGTGGCTTAGTGGTCAAGTGCCCATGAGCTCAATCCCCAGTACTTCCCCCCAAAAAAAGAGAATATAAATTCACAGCAAGTTAACCATACCAAGAAACTATTCTTAGGAATATATTCTTTGAGGTTAAATTTCTGTGTAATTATGCCAAATAGTGGTTTGCTTTTTTACTAACTCTTTTGTTACATTTAAAAAATTTTTATTTTTAAGCATGGCAAAAAACACAACAGCAGTTTCCAACATGAGTGTTAGAGGGGACAAGCCACGCAAGGTGGCACACACCTATAATCCCAGAGACTTTGGAGGCTGAGAGAGCAGTATTTGAAGTTTGAGGCCAGCCTTAGCAATTTAACGAGTTTCTCAGCAACTTAATGAGACCCTGTCTCAAAAAAATAAAAAGAACTGGTGGTAAAACATGCCTGGGTTTTTTTTTTGGGTGCGGGGGGGGAGTCTGGAGGTGGTGGGAGGGTGTTGGCTGCACTGGGGATTAAAACTCCTGCCTCATACAAGCTAAGTAAGAGCTCTACCACTGATTTACACCTTCAGTCCCTATTGTTGAAGTTGCTGCGATTATATTTAATGTAGTATCCAAGTAATAAATTTATTTCATAGTTCATTATAAAGTAAAGCAGATCTTTATTCAGTCTTATTCAGAATTTTTGTATTTTAAAGGATAGGTTCTGTGTTGTTTATTTACTAAATCCCTCCATTTATGTTCAATCTCTGTTACCATGTAACCTGTCAAAGAAAGGGAGATTTTATACTTTTTACATACTCTTTTTTTTAGCACTTTTGAGGGATTATTCTGCTTCATTTGGCACTTTAAGGTTTGGATGTGGTAACTGATATTCTTAAAAAAAAAGGAAGAATGGAGAAAAAGAGTGTAATCCAAGAATTTACATGAATCAACAAGGGTAAATTTTGGGTCATGGATAGTAAAATGAAAGTGTTTTGGGCACATGCCTATATTCACAGCTACTCTTGAGGTGAGTCAGGAGAATCACAAGCATAAGGCCAGCCTGGTCTAACAGGCAACCTAGAGAGCCCCCCCCCCCCCGCCCTTTTCTTTTTTTCTTTTTTATTTGGTACTGGGGATTGAATCCAGGGCCACTTAAAACTGAACCACATCCCCAGCCCTTTTTATATTTTTATTTTTTATTTTGAGACAGTGTCTCACTAAGTTGCCTAAGGCCTCACCAAGTTGCTGAGCCTGGCTTCGAACTTGAGATTCTCCTGCCTCAGCATCCCAGATTGCTGGGATTATAGGCATGTGCCACCATGCCCAGAGAGACCTTGTCTTTAAAAAACAAAAAAAGTGGTTTTTTTGGATAATAGACTCATAAGTCACAGCAAATATTAAATAAAAAATAACCACACTTTGGGATGAGCCAACTATATATAACCATAAATATATATATATATAAAAAAAAAGAAAGTAATTAACCATACTGAGAATTATGTCCAACTCTTTCTCCATCTACCAGTTAGACATTGTCTAAGTCCATATGTGATGGTATAACAGAATACCACAGACTGGGGAATTTTTAAAGAACAGAAATTTATTTCCTCACAGTTTTGAAGGCTTGGAAGTCCCAGATCAAGGGACCAATGACTGGTATCTGGTGAGGGTCTTCTTGCTTCATGGAAGGAAGGTAAAAGACAAGAGAGGGACGAACTCTGTGACTGCACATGACAGAAGAGCAGAGAGAACCTATTCCCACGAGGCCTTTTTATAGCTGCATTAATCTATTTATGAGAGCTGAGCCCTCATGACCTAAACACCTCTCATTAGGCTGTACCTCCCAATGCTATCGGCATCAGGGATTAAGTTTCCAACACACGTAGTGTTAGAGGGGACAAAAGGATTCAAACTGTAATTGCAAAAGTGGATTTTTGCATCAGATCCCTGTGAAAATTTTGTGAAAAAACAACATTGACTAGAAATATGGACAGAGCAAAAAAGAAATTGCCTTCCTCTTGTCCTTTTCAAGACAGTGAACAACTTGTTTTTAATCACCAGATTCTCCCACTGAGGCACTGTTAGGAGCAGCTGCATCCCACTTTTGTCAGTCTGACTCTCATTGATGAGAAAGATGTCAGTGATACTTTCATCCAGTTCTTTAGGGGAAACAGTGTGAGTGGAATCAGGTCACTGTTAGCAAAGGTGGATGCATTTTTTTTTGTGAAGATTTTTCTTGACATCACTTAGGCAAAGCAATATTTTTTTCCTTCCTATATCACAATGTAGGATCCTGGCTTGGTATTTGACTAATGGACTCTTTTAAAGATAATTTAAATGCAGCTTAGAGGGCTAGGGATGTAGCGCAATCAATAGAGTGCTTGCCTAGCCCTGTGTTTGTTTCCCACTATTACAAAATGAATGAATGAAGCTTGCTAAGGACAATTGAAACACTCCATAAGCCTAAAGCCTTTGACCACTATATGTTCTTTCTTGCGCAGAGCACCAGCCTCCTTATATCATCGCAGTGTTGCCTCGATATGTGGAGATCCGAACTTTTGAACCAAGGCTTCTCGTCCAGAGCATTGAATTGCAGAGGCCCCGTTTCATTACCTCAGGAGGGTAAGGAATTTCTTTACTGTTGTTGCCATATTATGCCAAAGCTTTAAAGTCACCTGTGTCATCATAAAGTCTATGCTCTGTTACTGTATTCCAGATCAAACATTATCTATGTGGCCAGCAATCATTTTGTTTGGAGACTCATTCCTGTCCCTATGGCAACTCAAATCCAACAGCTTCTCCAGGACAAGCAGTTTGAATTGGCTCTGCAGCTCGCAGTAAGTCTTGCTCCTAACATTGGGGTATGAGTCTGCCTTCCTCGTTCTTGAAATTAGGTGAATTTGATGTTCATATTTAGTTTGGACTACTACAATAAGCACAGAGGTGAAAGTCGGAAACCTTTAATCCAGAGTTTGACTTGTGCTTAAAATAACTATGTAATTCTTAAGTGATTTTACTTTTTCTATAATAATAATAGTATCAATGTCAATAATAATAATAGTATCTTATAGAATTAATGGGTTAATAAAATAATTCAGTAGATATTATATAGGTTTTAAAATTAAAGACCACTGAGGTGCACAAAAAATGCATCCACCTTTGCTGACAGTGGTAGAGTGATTGCCTGACAAATGCAAGGCCCTGGTTTAGATTCTCAGCACTAGGGGAAAAAAAAAGGAAGAAAGGAAGCATGGAAAGAAAAATTTAAAAAAATACAAACATTGAAGTGTAGTAACAGTCATTAATTTGATATGACAGTCTCATTGAATGCAGCAACTAAAGTTGCTGAGGCTGGCTTCAAACTTGAGATTCTCCCCTCACCTCAAAATTCCTTTCAACAGTGAACTCCTGTGTTTATATAAGTAGGCCTTCTTTAGGTATTCTGAAACTACTTCAAGTTATTGTCAACCAGGCTATATCTTTCATTTACAATTATTACTTGATTAATATCATTACGGTAATATAATCATTATCACTGTAGCAAAATAATAAACATAGGATACTTATGAAGAAAAAAAAGTTTATTTAACTCACAGTCTGGGAGGTTCAAAGTCTAAATGGCATAGTGAAGGTTCTAGTGAGTGCTTTCCATTGATTGTACCTCCTTCTGGCGTGGATAACGATGAGAGGAGTCCATGCAGGAGCAAGCAATTACACCTGAAGCCAGGAGGGTCCAGGCTTGCTCCTTTTATAACAACCCTGTCTTAAGAGCTACCAAGGGATTGCATGAGAAATATCTCATACCCCTAGTGACCCACAGAACCTCCCAGCAGTCCCCACCTCTTAAAGGTACACACCATTTCCCAGTGTGCTACCATCCCAGGGACCATCTCTGATGAGATACATAATTCAAATCAAAGCAGCTACTCTCCTATATGTTGTGGGAGGTTGTTGACAGCAAAGCAGTGACCGTGCCAGTGATACTTCTATTGCCAAAAACCATTTTGGAAATAATTTCAGAGTCTGTGTCTTATTCTTTTAAACATCCTCATGATTGTCTTATGTAGATGATGGTGATTGTCATCTATAGTGGGTGGACTTGATTTCAAGAAACAACTAAAAGTCATTCTGAGCCTAATCTAGTTATTAAATTGGACAGTACTAATTTAAAGAAATTTTGATGAAAATATAGTAATAGAATTTAATCTCTAGAGTATCTTTTTTTTTTTATTGGTTGTTCAAAACATTACAAAGCTCTTGACATATCATATTTCATACATTAGATTCAAGTGGGTTTTGAACTCCCATTTTTACCCCAAATACAGATTGCAGAATCACATCAGTTACACATCCACATTTTTACATAATGCCATATTAGTAACTGTTGTATTCTGCTACCTTTCCTATCCTCTACTATCCACCCTCCCATTTTCTCTCTCTACCCCATCTACTGTAATTTATTTCTCTCCTTGTTTTTTTCCCCTTTCCCTCACAACCTCTTATATGTAATTTGTGTAACAATGAGGGTCTCCTTCCATTTCCATGCAATTTCCCTTTTCTCTCCCTTTCCCTCCCACCTCATGTCTCTGTTTAAAGTTGATCTTTTCCTCCTGCTCTTCCTCCCTGCTCTGTTCTAGAGTATCTTATAAACTGTTGCTAAATGGAAAGCAATGGCCACTTTTTAAAAATTAGATTTTTTTTAACTTTATTTTCATTTTTTTAGTTGTGGTTGGACACAATATCTTTATTTTATTTATTAACTTTTTATGTGGTGCTGAGGATCGAACCCCGTGCCTCACATGTGCTAGGCGAGCATTCTACCACTGAGCCACAACCCCAGCCCCCCAAAATTACATATGTTTTAATCAACTTATGGTGGCTACTTTTTTTTTAATATTTATTTTTTAGTTGTAGGTGGACACACAATATTTTTAGTTTATTTTTATGTGGTGCTAAGGCACTTGCTAGGAAAGCACTCTACCACTGAGCCACAATCCCAGCCCAATGGTGGCTGCTTTTAAAGAGCAACATTTATTTTGTATGTGTAAGTTCTGGATTTAAAATAGAAACTCAGTCTTAAGACTGGTACAGGCATGTACCACCCTGTCTGGTTGCCAGACAGGATGGTACATGCCTGTAATCTTAGCAACTCAGGAGGCTAAGGCAGAAGGATCACAAATTCAGAGCCCACATCAACGATTTAGAGACACTTTCAGCAACTTAGCAAGACCCTATCTCAAAATTAAAAATTTCAAAATGTCTGGGGATTTAGCATTTAGCTCAGTGCTAAAGCATCCCTTGGATTTAATCCCAAATCCCAAACCTTAAAACTTTGTTGAATCTTTTACTTGTGATTCAACATAAATGAATAACATACTTAGATTATAAACTTTACAAAAGAATATGCAGTACATAACTCTTTTTAGTGTCTTTTTTTTTTTTTTGTTACAGAAAGAGCTTAGGATTTTTCAGTGTTCTGCATTGTGCCTTGTGCAGTAGACAATCTAGAAGTTGGAGCTGGGGGTGTAGTTCAGTAGTAGAGCACTTACCCAGCATGGACAGGGCCCTGGGTTAGAGTCCCAGCACCATAAAAAGTAAAATAAAGTTGCACACAAGAATATGAAAGTAGGTTCCCATGTTTCTCCTCTTTTCTAGTCTCAAATTACTATGTACTGCTTGTATGACAAAAGAAGATTGGTTGGCATCACTTTAGTCTTGAGGGAACCTATCTTTATTTAAATAGAGAATATGCATGAAACTTCCAGATGGCAATTTTATACTAAACTTTGGTATTGACAAAATGAAGTGAAATTTTAGGGACAGTTCACTGTGGGTTGGGAAAGGCATCTGAAGACAGATGCTTGAGTTGGTCTTTTAAGTATAGGTAAGATTAGGATCAGAAGCAGGAAACAGCAATTGAAAATCAGAGAAAGTTAAAAAAGTGAAAGCAAGTTTCATGCATTTCTAGAACATTCATAGTCTGTACTAACTGGAGCAGATGATTGAAAATAAGCTCAATAAGGAGGCCAGTGCCAGGTTTTGGAAGTCTTTGAAGCACCAAGCAGGAGAACTTGAACCAGGTTCAGCAACATGCTGACAGTGGTTGAACAGAGATGGCAATAGGGAGGGAATGAAAAGGGGAGGGGAAAAGAAGAGGCAGAGAAGGGAAGGAGGAAAAATAAATTCTTAAAATTTATTTTTAAGAAAGAAAATAAATTTAGTAAAGATTGGTTTAAAAAGATATAAGGAGGGAAAGGTTATCAGGAGAAAACAAAGTTGATAATAGCCCTATTTATTAAGATTTTGCTGTGATTAGGACCTTTGCCAAATGTGTTGGCCATGCCAGATGTCTCATTTCTTGAGCACCCTGTGCTCTTACTGTCACTTTAAGCCCTTGCACAGTGCTCTCTGTTATTTTAGGGCCTCATGCATGCCACTTTGCCAGGAGCACACATTTGTCTTCCATTTCCTTGTATCACCTTCCCAGCTGCACTTGGCTAACTAACTACAACTCATCCTTCATATCTCAGTTACAACTCAGACTGCATTAGGTACCTCTCCCACATGTTTCTGTCATCATTCTTACCCTATTTTTTTGTTTTTAAACTAAACACTAGAATTTATTCAGATTTGGCCAGTTTTTTTAATTTAATGTTGTCTTTTCTGTTCCAGAATCAAGTCTGTAAATCACTTTGCATTTATTGTCCCTAGTGTCCTCTGGCCTTTGGCAGTTTCTTCAACTTTCCTTGTCTCTCATGACCTTGACAGTTTTCAGGAATAATGGTTTGGCATTTTGTAGAAACCCTGATGTTTTTTATTTGCATAGGTACTTATAGTTAGACTGTCAGGGCAGTCAGGGAGGGCAGATGCCAGGTTTTTTTCTTGTACACTTTGGCACTTGTGGTTTCTATGATATTGTCTCACTTAGATTGTACTGAAAAATATTTGTTAAGGAGCTGGGGTTGTGGCTCAGTGGTAGAGCACTCGCCTAGCATGTGTGAGGCCCTTGATTCAATCCTCAGCACCATGTAAAAATAAATAAATAAAAGGTATTGGGTCCAACTACAACTAAAAAATAAATATTTAAAAAAAATACTTGTTTAATAAGTTAGCTCTCACCTTTTCTATGCTTTTATTAGGAAATGAAAGATGATTCTGACAGTGAAAAGCAGCAACAAATCCATCACATCAAGAACTTGTATGCCTTCAACCTCTTCTGCCAGAAACGCTTTGATGAGTCCATGCAGGTCTTTGCTAAACTTGGCACAGGTAACAAGTGGGTGTGGCATTGAGATAGGAACTACAGAGAGAATGGAAACTGGAAAGAATAGGGGTACCAGACTTTTGATCTGCATGTATAACAAGATCCTGTGGGTGGCATATCGGTTACATTTTCACAGTCCTAATCTTATGAAAATGGTCTCATCCATAAACAGACTTCTAATTTTCCAGAATGATTTGCCCTCACCTTTATAGAAAGGTAAGAGAGTCATTCAATTCACCAAATGTGTATTTGATCATCTGGTGTTTATTGAATGTTCTTCTAGACAAAAGTCCTTGGGTTAAATAGTAGTTCATTTTTGAGAGCCAACATAGGAAGGTGCTGTGAAGTTCTCCCTTTTCTTAGTGTCCTAAGATTTCTCCAGGAGCTTAGGCAGAACTAGTGGACCTTTCTGTGCTTTAATTTCTCCTCTACAAAAGGTGTATAATGGCCTGGCCATGGTGGCACACACCTATAATCCCAGCAACTGGCGGAGGTGATGCTAAGGCAGGAGTACAAGTTCAAGGCCAGCCTCAGCAACTTGGTGAGACCCTGCCTTAAAATTAAAAAAAAAAACAAAACAAAAAAGGCCTGGAGAAGTAGCTCAGTAGTAAAGCACCCCTGGGATTCAATCACCAGTATCCCTCCCCACCTCAAAAAAAAAAAAAAAAAACAACCAAATCTTTTCATTTCTGTATGTTCCATTTTTGCTTAATTTGGATCAATTCATATATAATCCATATATACTTAGTTTTCTTCTCTACCATATTATTATCTTCTCCTTCCTCATCTTTGCTTTGACTTTTCTTCACTATCTTCCAAGCCTGGTCAATAATGCCCTGTGATAACTCCTTGTATGAGTTCAGGTTCTTGGTTGTAATTAATAATGACTCAAGTCTGAATAATGTTAGCATAATCTGACAAAGTAAGAGGGTTTATTGGAATATTAGGGGAGTGACAATTAGAGGGAACCATAAAGGTGATAGGACACAAGGCTCAAGAATAGGCAGGTCCCAGTGCCTTGTGGGGACTGAGACAGGAGGATCGCAAGTTCAAAGCCAGCCTCAGCAATGGTGAGGCACTAAGCAACTCAATGAGACCTTGTCTCTAAAGGAAATACAAAATAGGGCTGGGGTTGTGGCTCAGTGGCCAAGTGCCCTTGAGTTCAATCCTTAGTACCCCACTCAAAAAAAAAAAAAAATAGGCAGGGCCAGGTACAGTGGTGAACTCCTATAATCCCAGTGACTTGGTAGGCTAAGGTAAGAGAATCACAGGTTCAAGCCAGCTGCAGCAACTTAACAAGTTTTTATTTCTCAAAATAAAAAAGGTCTGGGAATGTGTCTCAGTGGTTAAACACTCCAGGGTTAAATCCCTGGTACCAAAAAAAAAAAAAAAATGGATCGTTGGATGGCATTGAAATAGGAAGCAGGAAACAGAACAGTAATCACTTTGTAGCCAGGACAGGTTAGGGAGTCTTGCTCTGGCGTAGCCACTTCCTATACTGTTATTATTACCACGTCCCCCTTTGTGTTATCCTCAATGAAAATTGCCCCCTACCAATGCATCAGCTATCTAATGTTGTACAAGTCACCCTAAAACTTTATAGCTCAAAACAACAAACATCTGTTCTCTCTCTTTCTCCCCCAACAGCCCCTAGCTCGCTATCTCCCCCCCTCTATCTCCACCCCACTCCCCCGCCCCTCTCTCTCTCTGTCTCTTGGTCAGGATTTTGGGAAGGGTTCAGCCAAATAGTTCTTGCTGCAGGTCTCTTGTGGTTACAGTTGGATGTTGGCTGGGCTACTATCATCTGACTGGGCTAAGCTGGCTCACTCTCATGGCTAACAAGTTGGTACTGGCTGGGGCTTGGGCCTCAGTTCTTGTTCACATGGTTCTCCCCACAGAGCTGCCTGAATATCTTCATGCATAGCAGCTGGCTTTTCCCACAGGGAGTGGTTTCAGAGACCCAGGCGAAAGCTTCAGTGCCATTTATGACTGTTGCTTCTGCTATCTTTTGATTTACAAGGGTCCATCCAGTTTCAAGGTGACACAGACACCACCTTTGATGGAGGAGTATCTTGTTGCACAAGAGGAGCATGTGGGATGGGATATGTGTTGGTGTGTGCCATATTGCTTGTCATTTTGCTTTTCTTTCTCAAGATTGGGGATCTCTTTGGCTAGGAATAGGTCCTGGTCCCACTTCCAGACTGTACTAGGGCTATTGATGGTGTTTTGGACCTTCTCTTTTGAAGGCTAAGACTCCTCTCCAACTGAGATGAAACACAGTGTGGAAGAGGGAGCTCTCCAAAAGGATATGAAGTGCTATTAAGAAAGGTGTTGGGCAAACTGAAATAGATGTCTGTCGTCCTTCCTTCAAATGAGCCAATGGGGAGTGATTGTTTATTGGGTACAGAGTTTAATAAAGTTTGTGATGATGGGAAAGTTCTGGAAGTGGATAGCAATGAAGGTTGCCCAAAATATGAATATATTTAGTATCATTGAACTGTATAATTATAAATGATTAAAATAGTAAAAATTATATATATTTCAATACACACACAGATTGTTGGATGAATCAAAAAAAAGCAAAGAACCAGTATGCACTACTGGACATTAATTTCCTGGGCACATCCCGTAATCCAGAGCTCAGCCAGTTGCTGCTGCTTCCACTGCTGAAGCCACACAGCGGCTTCTGTTACCACACAGCAGACTAAAGACAGCTGCATCTGGGCAGGTGCCTCTAGATGATGACAAAGCTACTAGACAGTGAACTGTGCTGAGTCTGGCTGCCAAACACTAATGAACCAGCAGCTTGGTACAAAGAAGGACTTCGTCTCACTTCCAGTTGCAACACTCACACATAATGCTTCTCATTGGTAGAACCAGATTTTCATTCATTACACCGATTGCAAGGGAGTTTTAGGAAAGTCATTTTCAGCTTTATAGCATTCATTGGCAGGAAGGAACATAGAAAAGGAAAAATAGATGCTAAGTGCCAATTGTCCATAAACAACATAGTGTTCCACAGTATTAATTACTGTATGTTTGCATTATTATGCGGTGTTAATTCTATATGCAAGTACTGTAAATTATTTTTAGCCACTCCCCAGTAGTAGGTGAGGGGATATGTGGCTGCTTGCAGCATTTTGCTATTATAGATACCCATAAAGCATTTGTGAGATTACAATAAATTGTAAGGAGCAAAAAAGAGAAAGTCACCTCTTTAATAATTAGATTCTTGGGCTGGGGATGTGGCTCAAGCAGTAGTGCGCTCACCTGGCATGCGTGCGGCCCGGGTTTGATCCTCAGCACCACATACAAACAAAGATGTTGTGTCCGCCGAAAACTAAAAAATAAATATTAAAAAATTTTCTCTCTCTCTCTCTCTCTCTCTCTCTTTAAAAATAAAATAAAATAAAATAATTAGATTCCTAATGTAGCAGAACATTTCCCCACTTATTTTTCCCTTCTCAGTTCTTTGGTCCATTTATCAAATGAAACCTTGGATTTTTATTACCAAATTATGCAAATTTGTTTATATAATAAACATACTAACCTCTTGCCATATATAACACAAATATATTTCCTGACCTTTTATCTGGGTATTTCTTTTTTTATACATATATATGCTTTTTAGTTGTAGGTAGACACAGTACCTTTATTTTCTTTTTATGTGGTGCTGAGGATTGAATCCAGTGTCTCACACGTGCTAGGCAAGCACTCTACCACTGAGTTACAACCCTAGCTGGGTATTTCTTTTTAACTAATATTCATTTTTTTGACATAAAATTTTTATTATTAAGTCTTGATCTTTTTAAAATATCACTGGTTTTTCCTTGGAAGCTTTTTATCCTATACTTTTAAGGAATTGATAAATATTTATTTCTAATTCTGTGTACATATCTGTGTCTTAAAAGATAGAGTCATGCCATTTTTGTAGCATTTAGTGAAATACACATAAAGTCCACAGATCATAATTTCATTGAGTTTTTCTGAACTTAGAGTCATTCCCCTTTTAAAAATCAGTATGGAAGCCGGGTACAGTGGCGCACACCTGTAATCCCAGTGGCTCAGTAGGCTGAGACAAGAGGATCACGAGTTCAAAGCCAGCCTCAGCAATGGCTAGGTGCTAAGCAACTCAGGGAGAACCTGTCTCTAAATAAAAAATACAAAATAGGGTTGGGGATGTGGCTCAGTGTTGGAGTGTTCCTGAGTTCAATCCCCAGGACCACCCCCCCCAAAAAAAAAAATCAGTCTGCAATTTATTTTGTTATAGTAATGGTTTTGTTTTATTTTATCCTTAAATTGTTGGTCTCCTTCCCAAAAGAATCACATTTACCTTCCTTGTAGATCCCACCCACGTCATGGGCCTGTACCCCGATCTGCTGCCCACAGACTACAGGAAGCAATTACAGTATCCTAACCCATTGCCTGTGTTGTCTGGCGCTGAATTAGAGAAAGCTCACTTAGCTCTGATCGACTACCTGACACAGGTAAGTATAACACAGAGGTATATGGAAGCATTCACCTGGAATTTTTAATTCTTATTTCTCAATGATGGGGATTTGAGAGTCTTTGATAATGCCACAGGTGTTCTGTAAATGGGTGCTTTTGAGGTCTATGTGAGGCACTGTTTCTTCTGCTACTTCTCCCAACTAAATAGTACCATTGGGCTCTTTTTTGCCAAGTCATGATACCAGGGAACACACACAATTTCTAGTGAATTCAAACTAAACTGTTATAGGGACTAAAAAGGATAAATTTTAATTGTTGGAAGAAAATTAAGTTTTTAAAATGAACTTTGATACCATACATAATTATGGGTAAAATGCTTTCTCTGTGCAGAAAACTTAAGAACACACACAGAAAAGTACAAAGCAGAAATACAAATCACCTATATCTCCACTCCCTGAGATAAGTAACTAACATTTTAATGTTGCCCTTTGGGTTTTATACATATATATGAATTAGCTTTTGCTTATTTATTACAAATGGATATCAAACCATATATTCTGTTTTGTAGCTTACTTTTTAAAATTTAGCCATATATTGGGGTAGTCCTTTCTTATTAATAAATAGTCTTCTTTAACATGTGTTTTGGGAGATGTTTAGATTAATTTTTATTTCAGTTTACTATTACAGACAGATAAGTGAAATTTTGAAGTCGATACTAAAATGAACATCTCCCTTAAAGCCTCCTAACCCACAATTTGTCACAAAAAGTTATTATTTATTTCCTGTGCATCCATTCAGTGTTGAAGACCTTGTATTTTTTCCTGTTAAATGTCCTGCACACCTTTGTAAGGGGTCTTCCAGTGTACATGGAGAAGTGTTAGAAAAATTGCAGTGTTGCCTTCTATTCTCTGCTTCTTGATCAATGAGTATCTTCAGGTCTAATTAGGCATGCTTAGCCTTTGCACTTCCTTGACATTGGGCTCTCAGGGAACCCAGCTATGACTGCAAGCCTACAGGGAGCACACCAACTTGCCTCAGTATGCATATTGTACAGCCCTGTGCCAAGTGGAAAAGAGTTCCTGGGACATAGTGTTTCCCAAAGTCTAAGGTGCTATAGAAGGCCCTCTACTGCCAATGATTTAGCTTTAGAAATCTGAGCACACGTTCTTCCCTGGCCTTTTTCACTGACATTGGAAATACATGAAGTAAACTGACACCAGTAATATGCCAGAGAGATACCAAAGCATACAAGACCATGAGCTTAGCCAGATACAAAAGAATGCAAGCTGGATGATTCCACTTATATGAAGTTTTAGACTAGGCAAAAACTAATAGATAATTGTTGCTATTGTTACTGTAACTGTGGGAATTTGGCAGTCATCATATGACCCTTGATAATTGAGATCAGAGTCATAATGTGAAATCAGGGTTAATAGACATGAGCTGATTTGGAGATATTCAGAGTTATTTAGTACCTTAGGTTTTGAAGCTGGCCTTGACCCCACATTTTTGACCTTTGCAGAAACGAAGTCAGTTGGTAAAGAAGCTGAATGACTCTGATCATCAGTCTAGCACCTCCCCTCTCATGGAAGGCACTCCCACCATCAAATCCAAGAAGAAGCTGCTGCAAATCATTGACACCACCCTGCTCAAGTGCTACCTCCACGTGAGTTGCCCAAACACTTGGGTACCCTTGCTCTGGAATTCGGGTTGTGGAAAGGAGCTCTATACCTTAGGTGACTTACCACTAATAAGAACAAAGTCTTTGATGATGCTTATGAGTGTCCTGGAATTAAGAGGATAAGGCAAGATTTTGTTCCAGAATCTTAAGATGGTCTTTTTTTTTTTTCCCCTAGTAAGATTGAGATTATGACTACAGTAATTCCTCAATAGTGACCTCTTTTGGGCTGGGTTTGCAGCTTAGTGGTAAAGTGCTTGTCTAGCACACCTGAGGCACTGGGTTCAGTCCTCAGAACCACATAAAGATAAATAGATAAAACAAAGGTATATTTTTAAAAAGTGTCCTTTTTCCCCAAACCCAGAATATTGTGGTGTTGTGCAGAAGGACATAAATGTTCTAAAAGCTACTATCTGTCATCCTATTCGCTTTCTTGTGCTCATGTTACATCCCTGGCCTTTCAGCCTGAAATAGGCCTAGGCTAGGGAAGGGCCTTCCTGAAAGCTCTTCAAGAAGCAGTTTCCACTGAAGTCCTGCTCCCCCTGCAGACAAACGTGGCCCTGGTGGCCCCCTTGCTGCGCCTGGAGAACAATCACTGCCACATTGAGGAGAGTGAGCATGTGCTGAAGAAGGCTCACAAGTATAGTGAACTGATAATCCTGTATGAGAAGAAGGGGCTCCATGAGAAAGGTGATGGGAGGACTGGCTTCTTCCCTGCTGGGGGGTGTCTTGTATGCTGGTGGGAAACCTGAAGTGTGATGAATCTCCCCTGGGGAAGAAGCTTATGATCTTGTTTTTGGGCTTTGTGGCTAGCTCTACAGGTGCTGGTGGACCAGTCCAAGAAAGCAAACTCCCCTCTAAAAGGCCATGAGAGGACAGTGCAGTATCTGCAGCACCTGGGTGAGTAGACCTTTTGAAGATAGTGGGAGATGGCTCTTGTTTACAGGGCCTGGTCTCCCTCCATTTCTGAGTCTGGCTGGTTGGTCTCTTCCCTCCCTTATGTTCACTCAGCTTCATTCCTCCACTTGGCATAAATCCCTCTGTGGTCCAACTATGACAGCCCCCTTGGCGTTTGGCTAGCACAGGATGCCCAAACAGCCTTGAGTGGTATTTGAAAAGAGTTATCTTTGTAAGATCAATTTTGGGCTACCTGCACACCTGCCTCCCATTCCCATCGGACCAATCAGTCTTACTATTGTCAACTACTGATAAATCTTACTTTACCCTCCAGGCACAGAAAACCTGCATTTGATTTTTTCCTACTCAGTGTGGGTGCTGAGAGACTTCCCGGAAGATGGCCTGAAGGTAGGTCACAGAGCCCCTGGAATTTATCTGCTGCCATGTTTGATCCTGATTATTCCTGGGACAGCAGTGGATGCAATGGGGAGGATGGGTTCATGCCATTCCTTTGGGGCTTGACAGTGCAGGTTGGGATGCAGGAGACCACAGTGCACCGTAATAGAAGGAGCTTTGTCTCCAAATCAGGAAACCTGCAATCTAGTCTTGCCACACAATAACCAGCTACAGGTGTCTTCTTGTACACCCTTCCCCTCCAAAAGTCTTTTTCATTTCTATACTTATACACAGTTTGGTGGAACTGCAGTGAAATGATTCTGCTGCTACAACTCAGGTTTATTCTGACAGATTTTTACTGAAGATCTCCCAGAGGTGGAGTCTCTGCCACGAGATCGAGTGCTTGGCTTCTTAATAGAGAATTTTAAGGGTCTGGCTATTCCATATCTGGTAAGATACTTTTCAGTCTACACTAAAGAGTTTTTAAGCCTAGGATCCAAGATTACATGCTTCAGTTACCAGGCAGTTCAGATTTGGGTTTTTTGTCACTTGGGGCTTGGTGGAAATGTAAGGAAATGGGTTATGTTAATTTCCTCTGAAGAGACATCTCATGAGACCAAGCTGAAAATGCTACTTAGGGTGGTACCTTCTAAATCAAAGTAAAGTACAGAGTGGTGAAAGATTGATGTTTTAGAAAAACAGTTAAAATCACATTTATACAACCAAACACAGCTGTGGCCATAAGACAATCAAGTTAATTACTGAAATGCAGATATTTAGCTTTAATTATGTAGGCTGAAAAAAGAGTTTGAAGGAATGTGGGACAAAACTAATTAAAGTAGTTTAAATTGGAAATTGAAAAACAACAATTCCTGGGTTTATTTTGCTGGATTGCATTGTGAGAGTTCCTGGTGGTTTTAGAAGAGCTATCACTTGGTAATCTTTGCAGTTTAATTAAGGGATAATATGCACCTGTTGGCCTTTGAAAGTGAGAGGGAGCCTGGGAGAACAGTCGCAGTATAGAGAGTACCAACCAAATAGACCTCTCTCTCGTCTCAGGAACACATCATCCATGTTTGGGAGGAGACAGGCTCTCGATTCCACAACTGCCTAATCCAGCTGTACTGTGAGAAGGTGCAAGGTCTGATGAAGGAGTACCTCCTGTCCTTCCCTGCAGGTATCAGTAACTTTTGAAAGCTGGTTGGTCCCAGGCCTTTAAGCAAAAACAGACCTGGGCACCATGTGTGGTGAGGGGAAGCAGATTTCACTTCACTGTTCTCTGCCCAATCTGCAGGAAGTCCCTTAGAGGAGCCATGGGTGCTAAGTGACCCAGACCCAGCACGTGAGACCTCAAGCCCTTGTCTGGGTCTGGGCATCTCTGGGAGTCATACGTGGGGGAGGGCAGAAGGAACAGATCTGTTTGCAAGATGACAGCTATGCTGAGAAGAAACAGGTTGGCCTACCCATGTTTCTCTCCTCAGCCTGCTTTTTTTTTTTTTTTTAAATAACCTAAAACCAATGTTTTGGGATACCAGAGACCATAAAGTAAAAGAACTCCACACGGAAATTACCAGAGTCCTTTCTGATCATGTGGTGGCGTCATTGAGCCCCATCCCCCTCATTTTTCTTGATGATCCTACATTGGTACCTGACGGGAGTACCCTTTCACAATGAACCTGGTTTCCTTTAAAGGCAAAACCCCAGTCCCTGCTGGAGAGGAACTGGGTGAGCTGGGAGAATACCGGCAAAAGCTGCTCATGTTCTTAGAGATTTCCAGCTACTATGATCCAGGCCGGCTCATCTGTGATTTTCCTTTTGATGGTGAGTGTCTGCTGAAGGTAATGAAAAAGCCAGCCTTTTCCGTTTTATTGTTCTCCTGTCCTTTCTGGGGGAAAATAGGGTGTTTGGGGCCAGTGCTCCTGCTTTGTTCTCTCAGAAGACTGACTTTTGTACTGTGACTGAGAGAAGTCTCTTTTCTGGGTGTGAACCACATGCTAATTAATACCCAAGTTGTAACCTGTTTAGTGCTCCAGAATATGTTCTTGGCCAAATTCCTTGTTTAGCAGCTTTTGTAATCTAGCATAATTCAAAAAGATTTTTGTCTGATGTATAAACTCTGTGAGCACTGAGAACAAATGTTTGCTTATCTTCCCTGAGTGCCTAGCTTGTTGAAGATATTATTATATACTTGGCTATTAAATGGGTCTTCTTAACATTTATAAGTTATCATAAGGAAGGTCGGATGGGCTGGGGATGTGGCTCAATGTTATAGTGCTTTCCCAGATGTACAATTCCCTGGGTTTAATCCCTAGTACTTAAAAAGTGTATGTGTGGGTGGGGGGCATACAGTACCTCCTAAAATAGCTCCTTCACCCTTTAAAAAATTTAGTAATTTTCTCTTTAGGTGGGGAGAACCCCCAAGTAACAAAAATAATATTTTCTTCTATTTTATTATTTTGGTAATGAGGATTGAACCTAGGGTTCTGCACTTGCTAATCATGTGCTATACCATTAAGCTAGATGTTTTTTCTACTTTACATTGCTCTGGTATTCATTCCCCTGATAACTTAGTCCCCAACCTTGGGCTTATATAATGATGGTGACGGTGACTTTTTTTTGCAGAGGTGGTGCTGGGGATTGAACTCAAGGCTTTGGGCATTCCAGACAAGTGCTGTACCACTGAGCTACCAGCCCAGTGGCAGTTACTTACTTTTATTTCTTTTTCCTCTTAGGCCTCTTAGAAGAACGAGCCCTCTTGTTGGGGCGCATGGGGAAACATGAGCAAGCACTCTTCATTTATGTCCATGTCTTGAAGGATACAAGGATGGCTGAGGAGTAAGTCAGCCCAGTTATCCCACCTCTCAAGGAATTAATAAGCAGGCCCCAGATAGATGAGTGGTACAAGAGACTAACAAAACCATCTCCCTACATTGCACTGCAGGAGCGCAAGTCACCTCCCATAGCCACCCTTGGTTTTGGCTACTGTTAGGCTGTAGGAGCAGGCCATGTGGATAGCCTTTCATCTAGATGTATTTCCCTCTCACCTTCCCTTACCACTTTTTACCTTCCAGGTACTGCCACACACACTACGACCAAAACAAAGATGGCAACAAAGATGTAAGTAATAGCCCTGATACAGGGAGCATGTACGCATCTCCTCCCCTTTAGTAGAACTCCCCCCATCTGGTGTGACCACAGATGGCACTAGTATGAATTTCTAAATGAGATAGGACATGAGTCTGCATGGAATGATATTTGCATATGTATTGAAGGAGATGCAAGGTGATTGTATGTCCTGGTTTACTTGGGATAGTTCTGGCTTACGTCTGCTGTCATCCATATGATTATTAGTAGCATCCCTGTCCCTTTACTCTCAAGAGTCCTGATTAGTTAGTTAATTATGTGGTCAGCCTATTGAGAATGAACATCTGGTGGGTCCAATCCTATGTCTAGAATACACATTGGTTTATCAATATGTGTAGATATGTGTAATTGTCATCACTAGAGATTGGAGTGCTGCTAGAATCTAGGAGTTAGAAGCCAGATATCCTGCTAAGCAAAACACAGGATAGTCCCAACCACAAGAAATTATATGTTGAGAGTGCTAAGCAATACACAGGATAGTCCCAACCACAAGAAATTATATGTTGAGAGTGCTAAGCAATACACAGGATAGTCCCAATCACAAGAAATTATCTGGCCCCAAATGTTGAGAGTGCTGAGGTATATAAACCCTGTGGCTCCTCTTCAGGCAAAAAGCAGTCTTTAATTAACTTCCTCATTGTTGGTTTGACTTTTCTGACATTTAAAAGGTGAAAATGACATCTGTAATCCTAGCAATTTGGGAGGCTGAGACAGGAGGATTGCTTCAGCAACTTAGCAAGGCACTAAGCAACTTAGTGAAGCCCTGTCTCAAATTAAAAAGGGCTGGGGATGTGGCTCAGTGGTTAAGTGCCTCTGTGTTCCATCCCCAGTACCAAAAAAAAAAAAATTAGGAAAGGAAAGGTGAAAATGGTATATTTTAAATGTTCCTCATCAGCTGTTACTATAGACCAACCCTTCTAATCTTAGGCCTACTATCCCAGGGGGTTAGAATTAGGGGAGTTCTGGGAGTGTTACTGCCAGCCTGATGTGTACAACTTGTCTATTTGAGACAGGTATATCTGTCCCTGCTTCGGATGTACCTGTCACCCCCCAGCATTCACTGCCTAGGGCCAATAAAGCTGGAGCTGCTGGAGCCACAAGCCAACCTCCAGGCTGCCCTGCAGGTCCTTGAGCTACACCATAGCAAACTGGATACCACCAAGGTACAAGATCCTTCTCCAAGAGATGGAGCACCAAATGACAAAGAGGTTGGGGAAAGAGACTAGGGTCTGAGAGCTCTTAGCTTCATGTTCTCTCTGTTTCACCCACGTTCCCATCTCTATTCCTGTTCTAGGCTCTCAACCTTCTGCCAGCAAACACTCAGATCAATGACATACGTATCTTTCTGGAAAAGGTCTTGGAAGAAAATGCACAAAAGAAACGGTTCAATCAAGTACTCAAGAACCTTCTCCATGCTGAGTTCCTGAGGGTATGGGCCTTCCAAACTCTAGGGTGGGCTTTTATATTTTAGTATGAGACAGTTTCCACTCTCTTTCCACAGTTCCACCAAGGCAGAGTCTCATATATGAAAATAGTGTAGCTCAAGCAGGTCCAAGCTTTATAATTAGTTGTAAGTGTTCCATCAGGGAGAATCTGTGAACATTGAAGGATGAATCTGTGGCAACCTCTACTTTCTGTTTCTATGTGCTTGATGCAGAACTTCTCTTGCAGGTCCAGGAAGAACGGATTTTACACCAGCAGGTGAAGTGCATCATCACAGAGGAGAAGGTGTGCATGGTATGTAAGAAGAAGATTGGGAACAGGTGAGTGCCACCCTACCAGCATCTGAACTCAGATGGGAGCTCCCCAGAGGTGGAAAATGCTTGTGATGGATTTCTGACCTTAACCAGGGAGGAAAGCACAACTACTGGCAGTCCTATCTGTGTTTAGTTCTTGTATTTTGAAAGAGCTATCTCTGTTCTATTGGAGGTGGGCTTTGATAATTTAAAGACCTGAAATGTATGGCATGGAACTGTTGAATTCTTGCTTAAAAACTTCTTTTCCTCTGGCATCTAGAAGTAATGATGTAGCCAGTGTGTGAGAGCGATGGGCAGAAAGTCCTTATATCTTAAGGAAAAAAAAAAATTTCAACCTGCTACCCTCCGAAAAGCAAATCCTCTAAGCCCATGTTCTGTAGTCAGTCCTTTTTCCTTCAAGGGAGAGTGATTTGTTCTTTCTCTTAAATGGCTGGAAGAATTCTTTGCTTTAGAAAGACTTAAATCACTGTTCTTTTTTAGAGTAGCCTGAAACTTGTTCTGATGAGCATTGTCAGCCTTCAGTAAGCCAGTACTGAGCTATGACCATGTGTTTTACATTGTTTTTTTGTTTTAGTTTTGTGGGGCCAGTGATGGAACCCAGGCCCCTGTGCATGTTAGGCAAAGTGCTTTACCACTGAGATATACTCTCAGCCATGGACTGATTATTTAATAAGAAATGTCCCCATGTACTTGAACTTTATGCAGTTCATTCTCTGTTCAATTATTACACAAAGATGGTGGCTACAGAAATCCAGAGGCCCTCAGTACAGGCTGTTCTTTGGGATTTGGGTGTGCTGCTTCCAGGGTGACTCCCAGGTATATGGTACCTCTTTGCAAGTACTGGAGAAATAGTCTATTGGAGAACATCCTGACTTCTGAGCCATTTTCCTTCCCTGCAGTGCATTTGCAAGATACCCCAATGGAGTGGTTGTGCACTACTTCTGTTCCAAAGAAGTAAACCCAGCCGACACCTGAGCCCAGCATCCCAGGGATTCAGCATGGACAGCTCAGCTATCCCAGAGAGGTGAAGGAGCAGCTGGCCTTAGGAATCGGGGGCTGCCACCATTCAGTGTCTCCCCATTTGGACACTACTGGTTACCTTGCACCCTGGAACATCTCTGAATTAGCTAGACTTCTGGTCTGGCATTACCAGCTTTTTTATAGAAAAGAGATTAGTTACACCTGATACCATTATGTTGTGGGCAATTCCAGAGAATTAACACCTGCATGGACAGGAAGAGATGCACCATCTTGCCTTGGCATATTAATCACCTGAATAAGGAGACTTATTCCAAATGTTTATTGTACCCATGGGGTTATTTATTGAGAGTTTTTCTATTAAGATAAGTGCACGGCTTCACAAGCACCCACCCCTCAACAAGGCTGCCTGGAGAGTCCTGTGGAAGAATGAATACAAGAACCACTCCAGCCACAGAGACCAAGCAACTCATCTGTGTAATGCCAGCGATTTCACCACAGAAGCTGAGCTCTGTGTCCCCTCAGCAGTCTCCTTGCTTGTTTCTTTAATTTTCAGTTTTCTTTTATTTTACACTATTTATTTTCTCCCTTTATCTCTCCCCTCACTGTGTCACCCAGGCTGGTTCCCACTCTGTGGACACTAGGAATAGCTAATATTTAAATGAGGTAAAATGAGAAGCAAGAGGAAGTCTCAGTTTCTAGGAACACACTGATAATCAATTGTCAGTACATTGTAAATAGGCCCTCTTTGGCCATACTATTAGGCAAACTTTCCCATAGAGGCTCCTGACTCACTTACCTCCAGCCTGGACAGGTTGGTTTAGCCTTTGGGAACAGAGATCTTTATGCTTTGGACACCTTTCTCCTTTCCAACCAGTTTCTGTCCTCTTACCTTCCAGCTGGGCCTGGCCATTGTTCCTTGGCTTTGTTTTTCAGGGATTGGAGGATTGTGTTCTGATGGAAAGTTGGATCTCTCCCACACGCTAGAATTAGTCATATCAGGAATTGACACTGCTTTGGTGCTGAGTGTTAGTGAGGATTCAGGAACAGCAGAATGATACAGGAGAGTAGGGGCAGGAGCATATGGTTTTGTAAGATAACTCACCACCAGTTCTATTGAGTGCTGTGGGGGATCCTGCCAGAGATGCCCAAGATGGAGTTTCTTGCATTGTAGGCTGTGTGGGGCAAGTGGTCTTGCATCTTATCCTCACTAGGGTTTTTGTAGATTTGTAATCTTGTTGCCCTTGTGTCTTTAAGGATAGTGAGGATGGCTGATGGTACCCAATGCTGACACTTTCAGTGGCTCATCCTTGACATACAGTGGTCCTTTGCAAACTACAGTACTGTTCTGGGTTGGACTGTGTGCTATAGGCCAACTTGTTGAAGATAAGTAAGCAGACTGGGCTCCTCCCAGATACTTTCTATGTGTAGGTGGGAAGGTCTGAGGATACTGAGCAAGTCCACCAGCACCATTCACAGACATGGGGGACTCTGTTCAGATCTGAGAACCTGGACAATGTTTCAGAAGAGCCTTCTGGAGCAGCATGTGGAGAAAGAAAAGTCCCTGGCCATTGCCACTCACAAGAACCAGTGCTGTGCATGACCCTATCTGCACTTCTCTGGCTGTCCTTCCTCCAGAAGCAGCAGAAAAGAGCAGGCCAAAGTTCCTGCATGGCAAGCCCTGCCTTCTTGGCCTGCTGTGCTTGTACCTTCCATTCTCATGAACTGTATTGGAAGCAATAGAATAAAGAGTGTGCATTTTCTTCCCATCTGGTATCCCTATATGACCCCGTTTTCCCAAACTCCAGTCTTCCCTCACTGGACTCTGTCCACCCTCTGCATAGGTATGGAGAAGGCTGGAGATGAAGGTCCTGTAGTGAAGACTGATGGACATCTCATAACTTCTTCTAATAAACATAATCAAGCAAGAAGCCAAGCTTGTCTGAATCTTTTATACCCTTTCATGTGGACTTTGGTTAAAAAGAAAGACAGTGAAAGGAATCTAATTTAGCTAAAAATGGAGAATAAGCCAGTAGTGACTATGAAAAAATTAGAATTAACGCTTCTCTTGTGAATATAAGTCTGTGCTGTCCAGTACAGCGAGTGTGACTGTAGGCTGATAGGTTGACAGCACATACAGAACATTTTCCTCATCACAGTGTCCTATAGACTCACAGGCACTCTAGATAATCCACATTATCTTTTCCTTCACTTCACATTGCAGGGTTTCTTTCCTCTTCCTACAGGTCATGGTGAACGGAAAGGTGATGCAAGGAAGGATTTGGGATGGGTAGGAGTGAGGACCTAAGGATGTTTGAGAAATGGAGAAGTAATAGTCCACTTTGGCCCACTCCAAAAATACAATTTGGTCCTTCTATATAATCCTCTTGAGCCGTCTATGACCATCCTGAGTTTCCTTTGGTAATATCTGAAACTATTTGAATCATCACTTTGAGGCATAGGGCAGATGACTTCAGAAAAAGGTGGTACATCCCAGAAAGTATGCAAGTCAGACAGGACCCTAGCCTTTCTCTGCCACCAGCTGCCTTGTGCCCTTCCCACTTTGGCCTCTGGCTCCTCTGGTTCCAGGAGTGAGAGTGTCTTAATGTTCACAGAGATCACTAAGGAGGCTGGACTGGGTCATTTCTGAGAGCCCTGTTCCCCCCACCCCCCGCAGAGCTTAGCTTCATAGTCCAAATCAAGCAGAGACAGGCTCTCCCTTATTGACTTCCTCTGGCAGTCCCACCCGCTTTGGTTCTGGGAGTTTGTGGTCTGAACTTACCCAATTGGTTCATTTTAGAATTGAATCCCCTTTTTTTGTGGGGGGTTTTGTTTTAGGATTGAACCCAGGGCCTCAAACATGCTAAACAAGTGCCTACCACTGAGCTATATTCCCAGCCCTTTTTAGTTTGTGAGACAGGGTCTCACTTCCCAGGCTGGTCTCAAACTTGCCATCCTCCAGGTGTGTGCTACCAAGTCCAACTTGAATCACCTTTTTTGGATGTTGTTTGGGCCTCTAACTCTAGGTCTTAGGGAAGAGTGGAGATGACTGGATCTTGATTGAAGAAAAGAAATGCATCTTCCAGTAGTTCACTGCCCCAGAGTCCTTTCTTTTCCTGGAGACTGCCTCTCAGCCACCTAGAAGATTGTGTTCACAGAGGAGACATATATCTGCAACCTGAGTCTACATGGCTGGGAGGACTCTAAAGCCTTTATCCCTAGCACCTGAAGGACAGAAATGTCACAGAGTGTGTGAGAATTACCATCATGCTTATTGAGCCATAATAAGGGCATGCCAGGCAAGTGACTGAGAGTAGGCCAGCACCCCAAAGAACTCCTACTGCTTCCATTTTGGAATTATAGAGTTTATAAAGGCAAAAACCTCAAGAATGTAGGTTAGAAAGGATCTTATTGAGACAGATATTTTGATTACATGAGATTACATTGTTTTGATTACACATTTCAGACTCATTTTTGTTATATATCTGGGCTGCAAGAAGGTCCTTCAGTACTGTCAACATCAATATAGCTGTCTGGAGGATGGAAAGAAGACATTTTAGCAAGCATAAAATGGAGTCAGGTCAAAACAAAATGGTGTTGCCTTCGTTCGTTTACATTTCAGAAAGACCTTCTTTATACCTGTCCATATTTACACCACTTGACCATATACCTCTCTCTGAGCCATATGGGTATTCCCATTGTCCCGGGAAGGGGACCTGGGCAAAAGCCACAGAGAGTCATAAGGCCTGCAGATTTCTACAGGATATGGATGACCCTCCTACCTGTGTAACATGCAGCAGGCTCTTTAGTGTTTGGGGAATAAATACGGGAGGCCAAGAGAGATGGGAAACATCTTTGAGTCCAGATGAAAACACTGATGAAGAGATTGCCATGTTTCTGCTTCAGAACCCTGAGGAAGGTAGAACTTTTTTTTAAGCCTTACCAGCAGCTGGAAGAGGCTAGTTGCTGATACTCCATTTCCCTGCTGTTAATGGGAGGGCCGTGTTGGCTGTCTAGGGGGCTGGTCAGAAATAGGAATACCTGGGCTCACCCCCACTCATTAAGTGGGACATCAAGAGTGAGTCTCGGGTATCTATTTTTCACAACCAGCCTAATGATAACCAGAGGAACTGAGTTGGTGAACCAGAATGCTAACCAGAGACTCCCAAGACTCTCTTGGATGAAACTGCCTCCTGCCTGAGGTAATCAGGCTCTAGTCACTTCCTGGAGCATACAAACTCCACCTCTACCAGGAGAGGGCTACTCAGTCCTGAGTCCTCAGCACGGCGGCTGCTCCGCCCTCCCCACTCCAGGGATACCTGTCAGACTTGAGAACGGAGTGTAGCCAGGACAGGGAGAGAACAGGTGGGGCTTTCGGCTGGGAACTGGGTTGCCCAGCCATGCTCTGGGCCCTCTGGCCAAGGTGGCTGGCAGGCAAGGGGCTGCCCCTCCTGGAAGCAGTGCTGCTGCGGAAGAAAGAGAAGGGACCTCAGTGGAGGAACTTGCAGGTACGTACTTATCTCACCTGGAAGTTATGGACTGAAAGTCCTGGAGCTGCTGTCCTCTGTGAGGACAGAGGCCAGCCCCACACTTGGTTTTGACTTAGGATACGACCTGCCACCAAATAACCTGGCAAACCTTAAGCAAGAGAGATTGGCTAAGTGTTTGCCTCTCAAAAATAATCCCCTCCAAGTAGGAAATGGAGGGCTTTGATTGACTTTGATTGACTTTGACTTGTCTTTGATTGACTTTGCTAAGAATACTCTTGTCTGGCTGTAAAATTCACTGCTGTAGAAGGAATAAGGAATTGGAGGGATTAGGAAGGGGCAGTCTCACTGCCTAGAAACTGCAATCTGATGTTCTCTCTCCTGGGCCCAAGCTACAATCTCCTTAATGACTTGTCAGACCAGTACAAGCCAGTGACTCTTAACTTCCCTTCACCTGCCTGCTGCCTACTAGGCTGTCTTCCAACCTGTGTCAGGGAGTTAATGGGTGCGGTGAATCAAGATTTCTCTTTTAATATTCAATCTCCTTAAACACATTACTCCATCCTCAATCTACAGAAGAAGCACCATAGTCCAAGGGTGCTGTAGGCTTGTGGTCATGACAACCATAATTGGTTCAGCTAGCTCATCTCATGATGGAGCTGAGATTTGAAACTAGGACTGATGGATGCCAGGATTCAGGTTCATTACCAATGCTGAATTCTCAACACCTAGGCCTGTAAAGTCCTCCTAGGTATAGACCTCCTGGCAGAGTGACATCAGCAACCCTGGACCAGACTGTTGCTTCTTGATGAGACAAAGGGAAACCTGAGCTAAGGATCACTGGAGGGAGACCAAATCCCCACCCCGAGAATCCTATAGCTGAGTCCTTGGAGTTCTGTTGTTTCAGCGGGAAACCCACCCATACTATGACCTCCAGGTGAAGGTGCTAAGGGCCAGAAATATCCAGAATGCAGACCCATGTGAGTGACCCCATCTCTACCTTCTCTCCTTCCTTTCCTTAAGGCCTCCCCAAGTTCATCTTAAGTTGTGTGTGTATGTGTGTTCATGAGTATATGTGCACTTACTTGGAGTGGGGTGGAAGGCTGATGCTAACCATCAAACAAGGTTGCCTAGATGAGGGGCATACAGGAAGGGGCCACTGGAGGGGAGAGTTCTACAGACTCCAGACCCCTCTCTGAATCTAGAAGATGCCAGCCTATAAGGGTGGCTGTCACCACAAGTCAATACCTGCTTTCCATGCTGGTGCTCACAAGCTTGTGGGGGTGGGAGGGTTATTGCCTGAATCAGACAGTTTCTGGGCATTACTCAATGGTCTCCATGTGATCTCTTCAATAGGTCACTGTAGGCTTTATGTTCAGTTGAATAGGAGATGCAACCAGTCAAGTTGGAGTCAATGATACCAAAGCTCCCTGCCCCACCACACTACATGGGCACTACATATCCACCCTGCTTCTTTCCTCTGGCCCAGCCACCTCCAGGAAACCTTTTTAGCAATAGGAGTTTGAGGTTGAGGACCTTTTTCTGCAGTGTCCAAAGCTGACTGCTATGTGCAATTGCGGCTGCCCACGGCATCCCCTATCCCTGCGCAGACAAAGATGGTGGCTAACTGCAGTGACCCTGAATGGAATGAGACTTTTCACTACCAGATCCATGGTGCTGTGAAGGTGAGGACCAGCGAGAGGCCAATCTACAGAATGAAAAGAGCTCCTCCAAGCTCCTTACCTTCTGCCTGCTCCCTTTCCAGAATGTCCTAGAGCTCATTCTCTATGACAAGGATGTCCTGGGCAGCGACCAGCTCTCCCTGCTCCTGTTTGACCTGAGGCATCTCAAGCCTGGCCAACCCCACAGACACATCTTTCCACTCAACCAGCAGGTGAGCCCCACCTGGGATAGCAGCAAGCCAAGCTGGAAGAGATGATACCAGCCCAGGGCCACCAATGGGAGAGGGGGCTCCTGTCATCACAGACCAAGTCTCCAAGATAGATCCTTCTCTATTCTGCAACATCAACCCTATAAGTTTTCCCACATATACTGATTCCTGTGTGAAAACAAAATGTGGGCTCCTAGAGGACAGTGTGCTTAGTCTGTCTGTGTCTCTGCTAAATCCTCAGTGTCTAGAACAGCATCTGGCACAAATTTCTGAAAGAACAAAGTTCTCATAGAGATGCCATTACTTTCCTGTGCCCATAAGAGACCATGACAGTTCTCTTCTAGTCCTTAGAACCAAGCAGGGCTAAGGGTCAGGGATGTCCCTGAGGCTTTCGGAACCTTTTTAAAACAGGTTCCCCTTGTTCCCTCCATATAGGATACACAAGAGCTGCAGGTGGAATTTTTTCTGGAGAAAAGGTGAGTCCAAGCAGAGTCAATGCCCTCACATTTAGTCTTGGACTTACAGAGACGTTTAAGTTATATTATCTCCTAGCTGCTGGTTACCATGTCCTATGCTGGTCTTGCAGACCTGGCCTCAGAAGGGAAAGCTTGCTTTGGATACCCATTTACTTGTTGTCAGACAGGTCCCCACCCCCCAACTCTAATGCTCCCCAGGCTCTTCTAACTGCTTTGGTAAGATTATTGTTGTAATAGCCATAGCAATGCGGCAAAATGGCTCATAAGCTCCTCCTCCTTTGCAGCCAAGTGCCTGCATCTGAAGTCATCACCAATGGAGTCCTGGTGGTGAGTAGGGAAGATAGGCTTGGGGCTGTCTGGGGCCAGGGAGCAGGGAGGAGTCCATGACTGAGTCCATGATGCTCACTTGTCTCTGAAGAATACTCAGCCCCTCCTTAGAGTGGAGATGTGCTAGGAAGATGAAGAATAAGAAGCTGTCCTGACCCTGGGGTATAGCCCAGGACCCAGGCTTCCTACCTTGTGCACAGCCATTACTCTCTTGAGACCTTGACTGTTGAGACTATCAAAGGAGCCACTTTCAGGATCCTATACTTTCCTTGTCCACCAGGGCCAACTTCCTTTGTGTCCTGGGAGGGGAACATAACAGGGCCTGCTATAGAAGACCCCTGCCCATAAGTCACTGGTCCTGGGAGAGCTGTTTCTTAGACCTTGCCCTGGATACTCCTCCCTTGCTCCAACGTGGTCCAGACCTGTGGAGAGCCCTGTGGGCTCTGGCTCCCAAGGCTTCTGCTTTCCTCAGGCTCATCCCTGTTTGAGAATCCAGGGCACCCTCAAGGGAGATGGGACAGCCCCATATCCGGAGTATGGTAAGTCTGGTCAGGGCCTTGGGTCTTGCTTTTTCTGCTTGAGGGAGGGTGGATGTGATGTTGAGGGATGCTAATATCAAGAAGGAAGGCCTAGAGCAGGAAATTACTAATTTTTTTACTGCTTAAAAGTGACCAAGGATGGAATGGGTTGTCCCGGAAGTAATGAATTTATTGTCCCTGGAAGTGTTCAAGCATAGAGGTTATATTCATCCAGTTATTGCTCTAAAAAAAAAAAAAAAAAACACACCCACAAAATCTCAGTAGCATTCAATAAGAAGCACTTATTTAGCTCACACATCTGGCAGTCAGCTGGGGCTTGGTTGATCAAGATTGGGCTTGGTGGGGATAGCTCCATGAGCCTGGGCTCTAGGTTTGGCACTATTCCATGTGTCTGTCCTCTACCTCTGTGTCCAGCAGACTAGCCTGGGCATGTTCTTAGTGGACTGGGGCCATCAATACAGTCTGCCACAGACTCAGAAGGAGGAATCCAGATGTGGGAGTAAAGTTGAGGCAGTGTGACAGCTAAGGGCCCTTCCCATATGGAGAGTCAAGAGCCTTTGGGATGAATGCTGCTCAGGTAGCATGGGGCACTTACTAATCAGACACTGTGCTAAGCACTTCACATTTGTTTGATCTTGTAATCCTCGCAGCAGCCCTGTGAGGCAGGAATAATCACTCACTTCTTTTAATTCATGAGACCAAAGTCTATTGTTTCTGCCTATGACTAGCATATCCACATCTCAGTCCATAAACTTTTGTGTGAATGAAATAGCAAATTTCCAGTTTTCTCTAATTCTCTCCCTCCCTGACCAAGTCTCTGGTCTTATCTAATGCAAGGAGGTACTATAAGGGGTATGACCCCATCTTATGGGTCCACCTTTAGGTATTTGTTGTTTTCATGTTGTGTTTGGGATCTGGGACTCTTCTTTGAGGCTGTCTGCAGGCCCCTCTGCCTGGATGTCATATGCAGAATGTCATATGTTATATGCATCTTCATCTGGTCTGCATACCACCCCTGCTGGGAAGCAGGGAAGGAAGCCGCCTCACTGCTCCTTCCCACAGGTCTGTCTGCTTCTTCACAGCCTGAGCTTCACCTTCTATCCTGTACTGCCCCTCCCCTGCTTCTCCAAAGCATATTCTCTCTGCAATCATGAATCACATTCTTCCTTTGTAACGTCCTCTGCCCACTTCCTACATTCTCCACTTTAGAAACTAAGGCCAGAGCAACTTGTAACCTATTTCCATTTTATCTCTGTTCATAAATCTCCCCCAAGGCAATGAGCTCAGAGCTTGAATTGGGGAGGGAAAGAGATGGGGGAAACTACCAGTTGAAAACTGGTTATTAATGTAATAAATAATCAATTTTATATAATTACATATTGTTATGGTGAGATTGCAATAAATCACTGAGTCAATCTTAAAGCAGAAGATGAAACACTTATTCACCAGCTGGTAGTCCAGATTCACCATCTGGCTGGCCAAGAGGCAGGCTGCAAGTCTATATACTTTGACCCCCCTCCAGGGGTTAGAGCACACCTTTTAAAACATGTTAGTACATTAATCATAGTGTTTGTTGCTTTGATTCAAAACTACAAGCAAACATCATGAAATCTAAAATCATAAGCATAAGGGGAAGTGAGTAAAAACAATCCTAGTTGAGTACAAGTTAAAGAATGATCACTAATGTCTAGACAATCATTCTCTGACAGGAAACATTGTCCAAGAAAAATAGGAACCAAAAAGAGAAAAAATTTTTCGTTGTATAAGAACAACAGAAACATTTGCATTTTTAAGCAGGGTGTGCTAAGCAGGATCAGAATGGCAGAGGCGGAGTTTTCTCATGGGAGAAGCATTTCTTACATGATATGGAATTTCAGGGTAAAATGGAGTCTGTCTGGCCATTGCCCATATAGCCTGGCCCATAACAATATCATATAATTAATGTAATAATTTCAAAATCACCAGGTCCATAGGCTATATGGCCAGGGGCCCTCTGCCTCCCCACTTCCCACCTTTACCACTTCCCTAGGCATTTGTGTGTTCCCTCACTCCCCAGGGCCCCCAGTTATAAATAAGGCAGATTTTAAGACCCCAAGAGCTTTTCCAATGGTCAGGTGCCTGAGAGCCAAAAGAGTGAGGGGTAGGGGGAAGTTCCTGGGGAAGAGGAGAAAAGAGTTATAGCTGTTCAGGGTGCTGCTATCAGGAGGCACACTTTCTTTCATCAACTTTCACCCTCACCTGGACTCTCTGCCCTCAGCCTCTAGGCAAATCAAGCTGGCAGTGCCTGGGGCCTACGAGAAGCCACAGCTCTTGCCCCTACAGCCTCCCATGGAACCAGGCCTCCCACCCACTTTTATCTTCCACATAAATCCAGTGCTGAGCTCCAGGCTGGATGTGGAGCTAGAGAAGAAGCTCACAGTTGCACAGGTGAGTGAGCTCAGTGAAGGGTAGGATGATGGACTCATCCAGACTGAAAGAGGCTCCAGAGCCACTTTTTCCTTCACTCTAGATTGATCATTGTGGGTCTTCTCCACAGAGTGGGCCAATTGCTGAGCTGGAGGTACAAACCATACAACAGGGCAAGGGGGGCATTCTGCTCTCTACTCTGCCCCTAGGCCAGGAGGAACAGCGCCTTGTATTCCTGGAGGAGGTAAGGTTCTGTCTGGGTGCCAGGATCCCTGATTGCTATGTGACCACCAAGAGAAGTCTGGGGATAGGGGAAAGATAAGTCTATCCCTGAGCTCAGCCATACTGTCCACATCTGACCAGAGTTACCAGAGAAACTGGGGCCACAGGTGAGAGGTAATTTCCCTGGGAGAATCCTGCTCTGCATGCTCAGGGATGAGGCTGCTGTCTTTTTCAGGGCCAGGAGATGACTCTGAGTGTGAAGGCAGAAATGAGGTGAGGTGGGACTTCCAGCAGAAGACCTTTTGGGGCTGGGCTAGAAGTGTGGGGAATTACCCTAATGTGTTGTGCTCTCTGGCCCACAAAGCTCAGTTCATGAAAACCACTTTCCCTCCCCAGTTTTGGTTCTGGTGGGAAGTGTCTGGGAATTTTTTTTTCAGGGGTGCTTCTAGGAATTGGACCCAGGCCGTCTTGCATGCTAAGTACACACTCTACCACTGAGGTACATCCTCAGAACCCCACACATATGTGTCAAGATCTTTCTGAGGGGTTCCACAGAGTATGGGGTGCTCCTGAGACAAATAGGCTGGGCTTGAGGTTCTCCTCCACTGAACAACCATCCAGTACCCTTCCCCATTCCCTCTGAGGCAGCTCTGGGGACTTGGACCTGCGCCTTGGCTTTGACCTCTGTGATGGGGAGCAGGAGTTTCTGGACAAGAGGAAGCAGGTTGTATCCCAGGCCCTGCAGCAAGTGCTGGGACTGAGCCAGGCTCCACCTTGTGACCAGGTATGGAATGGAGGTAGAGCTGGATCACAGGGTTGCTGGACCAAATCTAGCCTCTTTCTTTAAGGGAACTTGTGTGGCTAAGAGGTGACAGAAAGCCTAGAGGAAGCATGGGGTTTATAAAGGCCTATTTGCCTGAGCTGGTGGGCACAATCAAGAGAGTCAGGACACCCTATGTGGAACAAGGGCTAAACAATCTTGGCCAAGGGTAGATCTCATAGTCAGTTTGGGCTCCTATAACAAAATACCACAGGGTAGGTGGCTTAAACAACAGAAATCTATTTTCTCACAGTTCTAGAGGATGAAGTACAAAAATCAAAGTGCCATCAGCCAGGCCTGACCCTGCTTAGCTTCCAAAAGCAGAAAAGATCCAGGATGTTCAGGGGTCAGTGTTGGGTTCTGATGAGGTCTTCCTTCCTGGCTTGTTGATGTTCTTCTTGCTGTGATCTCAAATGCCTTTCCTCTCTGTCTGTGTGCATGAGAGAGAGAGAGAGAGAGAGAGAGAGAGAGAGAGAGAGAGAGAGAGAGAAGGGGAGTTCTCTGGTGTCTTTTTTATTTTTGAGATAGAGTCTCACTAAGTTACTCAGGCTGAACTCAAACTTGCACTCCTCCTACTCCTACCTCAAACTCCTAAACTAGGATTTCAGGCATGCACTACTGTGCCCAGATTTCTTCTTCTTCTTATAAGAACATCAGTCCTATCAGATTGAGGCCCTACCCTATAACCCCACTTTATTATTATCTCCTTATAGGCTATATCTCTAAAAATAGTTACATTGGATTTGGGGTCTTTAACAAGTTTTGAAAAGACACAATTAAGTCCATAATTGTAGTCGAAGAGATTTGGAAGTAGAAGGTCTCTGGGATCCCTGTGGCTGGGAAGGAGGAGAGGGGTTCTGAGAGGCAGGCCTGTGGTACACCAGAAAGAGGCTGATGGCCTCCTCCTGGCTACCTGTTTGCTCAGGAGATGGAGCCCATGCCCAGCACCAACAAGCTGAAAAGCCTGGTTTGCTCATTTGGGTTACATCTGTGCCCACTCAGTGCCAGATACATGCTTTGTCTCATCCATCATTCTGAACAACAGGGCCCTTCATGAGCAGAGACCAGGGAATATTTTTTCAAGATGGGAGAAGAGGACAGGGAAAGGAATCACAAGACTGGGCAAAGGCCAGGCATAGTGTTATACGCCTATAATCCCAGCAGTTCGGGAGTCTGAGTCAAGAGGATCACAAGTTCAAAGCCAGCCTCAGCAACTTAGTAGACCCTCAGCAACTTAGCAAGACCCTGTCTCAAAATAAAAAGGGCTGGGGATGTGGTTCAGTGGTTAAGCACCTCTGGGTTCAACTCCAGATACCAGGGGTGGTGGGTGGGGAGGGAGTCTGGGCAGAATGAACCAACCCTTTGTGTGAAAGTTAAGCAGCCAAAACATTTTGAATTTTATCTTATCATGCACCTGAGGCAGACCTCAGCATTTGGTACCATTCACATCTGGGGGCAGGTATAGGCTGCTTGCTGATCTTTGTTACTTTTAGCTCAGTGTTCCCAATTGGGGGCAATCTTGTCCTCCATTCTCCAGAGAACATTTTTTGATGTCTAGAGGTATGTTTTATTGTCACAACTGGGGTGGGGGAGGTAAAGGGATGCTACTGGAATCTATTGAGTAAAGGCCAGGAGTGCTGCTAACCATCCCCCACACATGGGGCAGCACCTCACAACAAAGAATTATCCAGCACAAAGTATCTGCATTGCCAAGATTGAGAAACCCTGATTTAACTTTTTGGTGAGTCAAATATAACTTCCAACTAATCTACCTTCCTGGAATACTGGTCAAGCATCATCTCTAGAGTATCATCAGTATCATAATACTGCTTGGGTTTGATAGCTCATTACTTACTAAATGTATGATCTTGGACACATTGTTTGACCTTCCTGCACTCCAGTTTCCTCATTTGCAAAATAGAGGTTTCACTGGGCTGCTGTGAGGATTCAATGAGGTAAAACTTATAAAGCTCTTATAATATCTGACATGGATAAGCAATAATATTTAAAGCACAGTGGTAGTCATGGTTGTTGTTACTATCATCATTATTATTGTGCCCAGGTGCCTGTGGTAGCTGTATTGGGTTCTGGGGGTGGAACCCGAGCCATGACTTCCCTATATGGCAGCCTGGCGGGGCTGCAGGAGCTTGGTCTCCTGGATGCTGTGACCTACCTGTGTGGGGTATCTGGGTCCACCTGGTAAGTGAGGCAGGTAAATGAGCTCTGAAGGGGCAGGGATGTGGCCTGGTGATCTGATAGTCATCAGAAGGAGCTGGGAGCTTGTCTTCAAGGGGGTTAGGAAGGGCAAGAAGAGGTTGAATTTCAAGGACTTCTCTGAATGAGGGGCATCAGGTGCACATGATGGGAGGAAGGTCACTCATAGACTCCTCTATCTCCCTTCCCTTCACTGTCCTCCCTTATCCCTAACTCAATACATACCCTCTCTATCCCCAGGTGCATCTCCACACTCTACAAGGACCCAGACTGGTCCCATGTGGCCTTGCAGGACTGCCTTGAGCATGTCCAAGCACGGGTCTGCAGCAGTAAAATAGGGGCGATATCCACAGAGCAGCTACAGTACTACACTCAGGAAGTGGGGGTCCGGGAGAGCCTCGGCCACAGTGTGTCGCTTGTTGACCTCTGGGGCCTCCTCATTGAATATTTTCTGAACCAGGAGGTAAGAGAAGAGAAAGAAGTAAATACACTCTGTCCATAAACTTCTTGACCCCTGCTCTTATCCCCCAGTCTAAGATATGAGACTTGCAAAACTGCCCCTGAGAGCTGAGCTCCTCTTAGAGAAAGGAGTGAGAGAGCAGGTGGCTGACACTATTTCACCTTTCTGCCTCCTAACCCCTGGGGAGGGGGAGCCAGCATGCTCTTCTCAACTCTTTCTGTATATTGGAATCTCCTGCAGTTTTTCAGAATAACCATGCCTGGGCCCCACTTTCAGAGAGACTGATTTTAGTTGGTCTAGGGTAAGGCCCTAGCACAGGTATGTTTTGAAATTGGCTCTGCCTTTCATTGAGTCACAATGCCCCATCCACTCATTAGTCAATGCAACCCTGACTCAAACCACCTATGGCTACTCCCAGAATTGCAAGCCCAGCCTGTCCAGGGCAATGAGGTTCAGAGGTACTGACTCACTGTGTGTGGATCTCAGTTGAGTTTGTTTGTCACCAATGATTTCTCATTTCTAAGCCAAGAAGCAACATTTTCTAATAATTTTATTTTAATTAAATTATACTACTTTCAGTGTTAAACCCCCTTGTGTTCTAATATGCTTCCTTGAATGGGAAAGAAGAGGGAAAGATATTCCTATAGTCCCTGGAATTGTACAAAACCCATTGTGGCCTGACCTCTGCTGCAGCTTACACTTTTCCCTTAGAGAGTTGTCTCTATAGCCCTGGACTTAGCAACTCAGTCTCTCTTGTGGGCACACCACATCCCATGGAGGGCTGATCTCAGGCCACAGGGGGTGAAGCTCTCAAATGACCAAGCTGCCTTCCTTCTCTTCTGCCTAGAAAAACCCTGCCAAGCTGTCTGACCAGCAAGAGGCCATCAACCAGGGTCAGAACCCTTACCCCATTTATGCCAGTATCAATGTTCACACCAACATCAGTGGAGAAGACTTTGCAGGTACCTGGGAGTAGAGACCAAGGAAGGAGACAGAGGAGATGGTTGGTAGAAGGGCCAGTGATCCAGGGCTATCAAGTACAAGTGGGAGGTGGCCACAAACTAGGTCCTTAGAGCACAGTGGGTTTGCTGCTTCCTGTTCTTGGCAAGTCAAGATTCCTCCTCAGGCTTGAGGGCCCTGATGGAAAGCCCCGGTGACTTTCCCTTCCCTTGGGTCCCCAGAGTGGTGTGAGTTCACTCCCCATGAGGTCGGCTTCCCCAAATATGGGGCTTATATTCCTACTGAGCTCTTTGGCTCGGAATTCTTCATGGGACGATTGCTGCACCTCCTGCCTGAGCCACGCATCTGCTACCTGCAGGGTGAGTCTAGGATGGAGGGCTTGGGACAGGCAGGTGCCTGGACCAGGCCCTGATGAGGGAGCCCTGCCTGTCTCCTTAGGTATGTGGGGCAGTGCCTTTGCAGCCAGCCTGGATGAGATCTTCCTGAAGATTGCAGGCTTGGGCCTGGGATTCCTGGACTGGCACAGAGACCGTGTAAACATCACAGGTGAGGGCAGAGACTCCCAAACCCCCACTACCACTTGCCAGCAATGGGTCCTTGGCAGAAGGATGAAGAATGAAGGAAGGGATAGAGTAAAAGTTGGTTGTCCCATTGGATTCAGGGAAGTCCTGAGGAAATGACCCTCTAGCTTAGGGTCTTTGGATTCCTGGGGTGTGATAGGGCCACACCTTTGAGTTCTCTGCTTTGGACTCCAATTAGGTCAACTTGGCCCAAGATCACCAGGTATTTTTCCATACTCCATTCATGTCTCCCCTTTGACCTGTGCTTAGAGGGCCTAGGAGAATCCTCCTATGCAGTATCTTTTCCACCTTTCTTTCCTGGATAACTTTTGCTCAACTCTTAAGGTTCAGCTCAGGTGTCACTTTCTCAGAAGTCTTCTCTTTTCCACTCTAACCCTCTAGGCTGATTGAGGGTCTTACCCCCCTGATCTCTTAGGATTGTATGCACAACTAGGGCAGTATTATGTTTCATTATCTCTTTATATGACCACACTTCCCCTACCAGAGTAGGCCTGAGACCTGCAGGGTCAGAGACAGGCTCTATTCACCTTTGTATCCTTCATACTTAGCAGAAGTACAACACTCAGTGTTTAAGGGATGGAATTCCAATTAGAAATTATATATACAGCTATTTCAAAAGGGTAGGAGGAGGTCAATTATTTTATAAAGGCACAGTCCTTGGTAACTTTCAAAACATGAGATTACAAAAGAAAAAGTCTTTAAAAAGGATTCTGGTTACTGGGTGTGGTGGCACACCTATAATTCCCAGCTACTTGGGAAACTAAAGCAGAAGGAGGGCAAGTTTGAGGCCAACCTGGGCAACTTAGCAAGATCCTGTCTCAAAGGAAGAAAAGTGGAGGATGGGGGTGGAGGACTGGAAGTGCTTGCTAGTAGTATGAATGAAGCCCTGGGTTCAACCCCCAGTACCACAAAAGGGTTCTGTGAATCAGCAGTCAGAGGCCCGTGGGGGCCTGGAAGAAGAGGAGGGGGTGTGAAGGAGGGGGTCTTCTCTGAGCTGTAAGGGTCACTGGACAAAGAAGATGCCACTTCTCACTGTATTTCACACACACCTAGATGACTGCCAGGAGTTCCAGCTGCATGACCCTATGTGTCTACGTACCAGGCTCTTCACCCCACAGGGGCCCCTTTCCCAGGCCCTGCTGGACATATTCACTTCCCGCTTTACTTCTGCCCAGAACTTTAACTTCATCCGGGGCCTCTGCATGCACAAGGACTATGTGGCCTGCAGAGAGTTCATGGCTTGGAAAGGTGGGTTCTGCCCTGGGCAGGGAGGGGGTAGCCCACTTTGTGCTCATGCCTATGACTCACTGGGGCCAGCACTGGCTTTTGTCATGGGATGTGTGAGGGAGTATTGAATTGTGGTCTCCTGCTGCCTGGTGGCTGATGAAGAAGGGCTATCTGGCCACTGTGTCAAGAGGTTGAAAACATGGTCGAAGGGCTGGGATGGGAGAGCCCCTGGCTGTCAGAGGGGAAGAGAGAACTCTGCAGAGAGGTTGAGGCTACAAGTGCAAAGAGGGTCACTAACAAGAGCAACTGTGCTTGTTCCTATGTACTTTGCAGACACACACCGGGATGCTTTCCCCAACCAACTTACACCCATGCAAGACTGCCTATCCCTGGTGGATGGAGGTTTTGCTATCAACTCTCCATTCCCACTGATTCTGCAGCCCCAGCGGGCAGTGGACCTCATTCTGTCCTTTGACTACTCCTTGGAGGCCCCTTTTGAGGTAAAGCAGGGAGGCAGCAGGGGCCTGAGGTGAATGGGGAGGAGGAAGGGGAAAGAGGGCTCTGCTGAGGGGCAGGCTAGATGTTTAGAGCTCATTCTGCATGGCCAGGCTGGCCTCTGATCTATGGCAAGAGCCTTTAGATCACTGTTGGCAGTCCAGATCCATCTGGGAGAGGAGAATGGCTGGGATTGTGGGAGGAATTGGGAAGAGGAAGTTGAAGATGGTTCTTCAGGCATCAGCTAGACTCTGCTCTACACTCTGTCCATTTATGATAGGATTTCCCACTCCAGTCTGGGCCAGGGCCTGGGCCTGCTGTCCCTTGCTACTGTGGTAACAACAGGGCCTTTGGGGTGACTTTAGCAGTGACTCCTTCAAACTCTGCAGAGTAGTGGACAGATGCTATCTCCAAAGGTGGGTTCTGGTCATGCCACAGGACCAGTCCTTCACTCTTTGTTCTTCTCTTTATCCTCCTGGGTCCAAAGAGAACCTAGATTTGATAATCCATATAACCTTACCCAGCACTGATCCTGGGATCATTGTGTCAACCTTGTGAAATTGAAATTAGCCCCAAACAGGGAGCAGAGAGGGGCCAGAGAAGGGAGGCCATGTCATGGGGAGGAATGATGGTGAGAATGATGATGGGGGCCCTAGATCATTGATTATTGATTATTATTGGTTATTGCTAATCTCTCACAATCCCACTAGATAGTTATTTGACAAGTGAAAGGTGTAGCTCAGAAAGGCGATATTATCTTAAGAAGGTCACTCAGCTGTTCAAAAGCAGAGCTGGCCTGAAGCCTGGGTCTATTTGAGTCCCAAGTGGAGGGAGGGCAGGGTGGAAGACAGGTAGGGCCAGGAACTCACCCACTTCCTAGGTCTTACAGATGACAGAGAAATACTGCCTGGACCGAGGGATTCCTTTCCCCAGGATTGAGGTGGGCCCTGAGGACTTGGAAAGGCCCCGTGAGTGCTATCTGTTTGCCAAGGCCAAGGACCCCAGTTCACCCATCGTGCTACATTTCCCCCTGGTCAACCATACTTTTCGTACACACCTGGCCCCAGGTAAGAGAGAAACCCAGACCTGCATCTGATCTACAGAGCTCTGGGGGAAGGGATGCTATTCCAATAGTGGACCTTCTGGACATTACCATTGCATATCTCCTGGAAGGCCTGAGCTGGCCACTGCTGCCCTCTGCTTACTGGTTCTCAGCATTTACACTGGAATATCTCCTCCTGATGGGCCTGAGAGCTGAGATGTGGGCCCAGGCAATTCCCACAGGGAACCAGCCAGGTGTCTTAGGGCAAGGAAGGTGTCTGGGATATCAGCTCCCAGGTAGTCCCAGAGTGTTCCAGTCTGGCCTCACCTCTACTTTTCCACCCACAGGTGTTGAGCAGCAAACCTCTGAGGAGAAAGCCTTTGGGGACTTTGACATCAATGGGCCAGATACCCCCTATGGCATGATGAACTTCACCTATGAACCCAGGGAATTTGATCGCCTGGTGGCCCTGAGTCGATACAATGTTTTGAACAATGTGGACACTGTGAGGCATGCTCTCAAGCTGGCCCTGGATCGGTGGCAGGCTGGGGAGAGGGGTGGGGGCTGACCAGGCTGGAGGCAGAGGATTACAGCAGAGAGGAGAGATGTGGGACTGTAGCCCAGGGCTTGATGAGGAGTCGAGGCTTTAGAGGGTTCTGCTTCCAACTTCTCTAAGACCTGCCCTGAGATCCCTCAGGCCTGAAAAGTCTTGCAGACTCACAGCTTGGACTTAGAGAAGATGGGGCAGTACATCCTTCCATGGGATCAAGGGATATAGAGCAGAAGAGAGCAGTGCTTGTTTCTCAGAGTGGTGTGGAAAGAACCAGGCCAGTCTTGCCACAAGGCCTACCCACAGCCCAGGACTCAGAGGGTCCAGGCACTCACTCCTACTTTCTAGGGTGGGAGTTGTGAGCACTTATGTGCAGGCTCTGCTTCTTACACTGGGACTTAAAGCAGAGATAAAGCCACCCACACTTCCTGCAAAGTGGCTCTGGTCCCCAACCTACTCCAAGCTCCTGGATACAGTGCTGTCAAGAATAAAGAGGAGCCCATGAGTCACCAGCTTGTGTCACTGTCTCCAAGTCCACCTGCTAACTTTCCTTTGCCTCCTGGCTTCCCTTGTACCTCTTCACAGATCACCATCTTTCTCTGTTCAGTCTGCTGAAGCTGTGGTATGATGGCCCAAACTGGCCAGGCTCCAGCTGGTTGGTGTGCACAATGTTCTACTCTTCAACTTGGGCCACATTTCCTGGTCATGTGTACAGCTGCCACCTCAGGCAAACACAGTCTTCCCTTCCTTTCCTAGGAACTAAATGGGTGTATCTAGAGGGGGCATCTGTTTACCAAAGGTGGGGCGAATATGTGCCTGCATGTGTTGCAGGGTGTGTGCTTACTCCTGGTATAGGTGGGGCAAGTGAGCACCTGTCCTTTGGCAAAGGTTGAGTGGAAGGAGCCCTAGGCTCCTTCCTGCCTCTCTTATGGATTCATCTGATGACCTGGACAAATCTGATTCTCTCTCTCTTTCTCATTTCCTCCAAATTTGAAAGCCTCTCTGGTGTATGCAAATTTCAGATCCTGACCAGGCCGTCTCCCTTTGGTCTACCTTGGCAGCCTTATCTTCTCACCCTGCCCTACCCAGGTGCTGAACCACTTGGGCCCCTGAAGTGGGCCCCTTTATACTCACTTGAATACTTCCTCCTTCTGTCCCCTGCATATGCACACACACAAATCTGCTCTCTGAGACCTGAGATGTCCTTTTTGAATCAGGACATCTATGCTGGGCAGCCTCACCTGCCCTAAGTTTGGGAAGAATACCCTAGTTCTGGCTTCCAGCTGGGAGGAGAGTGATTAGAGTCCTGACTGTGTCCGTTGCCTTGACTGGCCTGGGACCAAGAGACCTCCAGCTGATGTGAATGGTAAGGGGAAGCTATATAAAGCTAGACTTTCTTTATTTTTTCTTTTCTTTTTCTTTCTTTTTTTTGAGACAGTAAGGTCAGTAAGTTGCTGAGGGTCTCAAACTTAGATCCTTCTGCCTCAGCCTCCTGTGTCATTAGGATCATAGGCATGTACCATTGTACCTGGCCCAACACATGAAGTTTTAGGGATACCCTCAAACTATATCCAAACTGTAGCACTGCTTCAGTTGTCTTTTTCCCACTATCTTCCCTTGAAGGTTATATGTTCTATTTCTAATTCTGATGATTTCTCTTGTCAGTTTCATTGATACATAATTTATATAGAATAGCCTACATCTTTTCTAAGTTAGTAGTTAGTGAATTTTGACAAATTTATATAGACATGTACCTACCTGCTACAGTCAAGATATGGAACATTTCCATTGTCCCAGAAGTATCTTGTGTTATGTTGTAGTCAATCTCCAAACCCTGGTCTCAGGTGACCAAAATCCTTAGCTATATATATATATATATATATGCATACATATATACACACACACACCAGGGATTGAACCCAGAGGCACTAACTACTGAGCTGCATCCCCAGCCCTTTTTATTTTTTATTTTGAGACAGGGTTTCACTAAGTTGTTTAGGCCCTCACTAAATTGCTGAGGCTGGCTTTGAACTCACGATCGTCCTGCCTCAGCCTCCCATGTCGCTGGGATTTGGGGCATGCACCATAGCACCTGGCCCTCAGCCATAACTCTTGATATACATGCAGGGACCCAAATCAGTGAGGCTGTGGTCTTCACATGAACTCCCGCCCTCCCTCACCCCACTGGCTAGAGGTTCCTCTGATGCTTCTGCAGGGTTTTATGTTCAGTAGGAGTAGAAGCCCTGTGCACCAGGCTGGGATTGTAGCTCAGTGGTAGAGTGCTTGCTTAGCACGTGTGAGGTTCAAGCCTCAGCACCATAAAATAAAGGAATGCTGTCCGTCTATAAGTACAAAAAAAAAAAAAAGAAGAAGAAGCCCTGTGCACCCAGGCCTAGATACCTACTTCCACCACCCCTCTCTGGATCTGTTTTCCTTTGAGCAAGAACTGCTGTAGGCATGCTGCCTAAAATTCTCAAAGAGCTAATTTTTGTTCAGACAGGTAAAAGGCTGTCAGGGTAAGAGTAAGGTAGGTAAAATGTACAGGCCTTGAAGGCACATGAGGAGGAGGTTGTCCATGGTTGTGGAAGTAGCAGGATGCTCTTTGCTGTGCCTAGCACATTAGACAATGGAAACACTGCAAGTCTGGTGGGAGAGTTTGGGCTCAATATGATGGGCAGGTTGGAACTCGTGTGTATTCTTGATTGTGAGTGTGCATGTGTTAGAAGAAGATGGGTAATAAAGGAGGAGCTGGAGTTGTGAATGAAGACATGGAAAGCCCCTGAAGAGGAAATCCTAGAGAGGGATCAGGAGAGACAGCAAAGTGGGAATGGAGAAGAGAATGTAAATAGAAACATGAATCTGTGATGTATCAGATGGGAAAACCAAAAGCTAGCCTGAGGCTAAGTGCGTGATGGTGGCAAGGATAGGGCTGTGGTTCCAGAAATTTCGAACGCTCTGAAATCTCAGTGTGTTGCCTCTTGGCTCCGGATGCTCCTTCTTACAGGTGCCTTGTGAACAGTGGGTTGCTCTAAGTAACCCTCCTTTATGTTGAGGGTGGTGGAGATTGCTGCTGGAGGGAAAGACTCTCCTGCCATTTGAGAGGGCTGGGGACTAGGTGCAGGGAGAGAACATCTAGGGGAAGCCATCCAGATTGCAAGCCCATGTGCGGTCTTTGCAGCCTAAGCTGGTAATCATTTTTCTACAAGCCTCTTCAGGGGTATATCAGAGTCCTCACCCAGCACTCTATGGGCCTGCCCCACTAGAGCTCAGATTCCCACTGCACATGCATGCCACCTGTGCCACTAGCTTCTGATCACCTGCTCCCTTGTCTAAGCTCCAGAGCACGGCCTATTGCTTTCGCAGAAACTCCAGATCAGCTGTGGACTGAACAGTGGGTTAAACCTACCTGCTCCATCTGAATCCTATCCAATAGTCTTTCCTTGAGTACAATTTCTCAGCCTAGGTTTCCATATGAAGTTTCTTTTTTTTAAATTGTTTAAAAAAAAATGACAGCGGAATGCATTACGATTCTTATTGCACATATACAGCACAATTTTTCAAATCTCTGGTTGTATATAAAGTATGTTGACACCAATTTGTGTCTTCATACATGTACTTGGATAATGATGTCTCTCACATTCCACCATCCTTGCTAATACCCTGCCCCCTCCTTTTCCCTTCCACCCCTCTGCCCTATCTAGAATTCATCTATTCCTCCCATGCTCCCCCTCCCTAACCCACTATGAATCAGCCTCCTTATATCAGAGAAAACATTCGGCATTTGTTTTTTTGGGATTGGCTAGCTTCACATAGCATTATCTTCTACAATGCCACCCATTTACCTGCAAACGCCATGATTTTATTTCCATATGAAGTTTCTTTATATCTTATGGTTATTCTTATGATATGGTCCATAATTCTTTATATTGAATGTCCCCTATATATTAAACTCCCTCTGGGATTGGACCCAGACTGGCTTCTATTATTGTGTTTGAGAAGCCTGCTCCTGCCTAATTACTAATCTATTGTAGGCAACTTATCTCTCCTTCCTGAGGGCTTTTAATATTTTTCTTTATTTTCTGTGTTCTGCAGTTACACTGCAATTTTTACAGCATGAATTGGTTTTGTCCTCCAGATTTGTTGCAATTCCTGAATAATAGCTTATAATAATGATAGCTAAGACTTTTGGGAATTAGCTTCAGATCAGGCACTATTATAAATACTTGACAATGTTAATTCATTTCATATTCACAATACTATCATCATCTTCATTCTTTTTTTAAATTTTTTTTATAGCTGTAGATGGACAGAATTCCTTTATTTTATTTGTTTATTTTTATGTGGTGCTGAGGATTGAACCCAGTGCCTGCCTCACACATGCTAGGAAAGCAGTCTGCCACTGAGCTACAGCCCCAGATCTCATTATCTTCATTCTTTAGGCAATTTAAGTGTCTCGTTCATGCCACACAATGGTACATGTTGATGGCAGGATTTGAACCTAGGCTTTTCCCAGGCTGTGTTAGTCAACTTTATATCACTGTGACAAAATATCTGAGATAGCCAGGCACAGTGGTGTACTCCTGTAATCCAGAGGCTTGAGAGGCTGAGTTCAAAGCCAGCCTCAGAAAAAGTGAGGCACTAAGCAATTCAGTGAGACCCTGAATAAAATACAAAATAAGGCTGGGGATGGGGCTCAGTGATCAAATGCCCCGGAGTTCAGTCCCTGGTACCCACCCACCCCCATCCCCCAAAACTCTGAGATAAACAACTTAAAAGGAGGAAAGATTTATTTTGGCTTACAGTTTCAGAGCTTCCCGTTCATGATCACTTGGTTCTATTGTTTGGGTCTGTGAGGCAGAACACGGTAGCAAAAGACATAATGCAAGAAAGCTGCTTACCTTGTGGTAGCCAGGAAGAAGTGTGTGGGGGGGCAGGGCACTTTTATATAAAGTCCCTCTCCCCAAACCCATTATGATATGAATCCATCCATGAATCAATCCATTGATGAGGTCAGAGCCCTTGTGATCTAATTGTCCCAAAGCCTTACCTCTGAACACTGGGAACCAAGACTTTTGGGAGGACATTTAAGCTTCAAACCATACCTGGCTCCCCATGTATTTCTTTTCTGCTTAAGCCAGTTTGAGTTTGGTTTTTGCTACTTGCAAAAGTCCTGACTAATCCATTGGGTAATGGGATAAATATTGCTGCTACTTATGAAATAAATCTAGGAAGGACAAAGTTTGAGAAATAATAGGCACAACATGGTATTACCTCATTCAGGAACCTGCTGAATGTCTCGATTGATGTCAGGAAGTTTCAAAACCATCTCTAGCACTTGTTATTAGTGTATTCCAAATATTTCCTGTCCCTGTGGCCTCTCCTGGAACTGAATGTCTTCCGGAAATGAACTGCCTCTGAGCTGTATTTTGCAGCAGTGGGTCCTGAAACTCTAGGGTGGCAATGAGTTGTGATGTGTGTTATGATTTATTATTAATGACAAAAGCATCCACAT